TGGCCAGTGTTGGCGTCCAGCTCGGCGGTGGCCCATGGAAAGTGAAGGCGGTTGTTTGCGTGGTCACTGACGGCTTCATGTGAGTGCAGAAAGTCCAGCCCGAGGAGAGCTTGGTAGCCGACACCATTGACATCGACCACCACGCAGGTGTGTGAAATTTCCCTCCCCAGTACGTTGAACTTGAATTCAGTGCTTCCCTTAACTTGCATTCCCGTGCCATTTGCGCAGCCAAATTTAATGTGACACGGTTTCAGGTCCAGTCCCAGCCTCTTTGCCAAGCTGTAGCGCAAGATAGTGATGGCGCTGCCGCTGTCGATCATCATTGGGATGCGGAGGCGCCCTCTCTGAACCCAGAGGATGCGACCGGGACGAGGCTGGACGGCGTGGACGTTAAGGAAGGACTGAAGGGCGGCGTCTGCGCCGCCTACTGCTGGAAGTTTTTTGTCTGCTGCTGGATGGCAGGAGCGCCACCGGGAGCTCCCTGCTGGCCGCCTGCCGAAGGACAGTTGGCTGGTAAGTGTCCCAGTTGGTTGCAAAGTCTGCACGGCAGGAGGGGGCAGGTTGCCAGGTAGTGACCTGGTTGGAGGCAGTACGAACACGGTTTTTGGCAGTCCTTAACCATGTGTCCGAATTTACCACATCTGTAACACTTGACTGCTTTCAGGTTGCCTTTCTGCTGCTGTGCGCCCCCTCGTGCGTTGGAGAACTGGCCGTAGTGCTGCTGGGGCGGCGCGCTTGCGTAGTGGACAGCGTACTGCGCTCCGGGCGCTGACTGGGCTTGCATCGGAGGAAGAGGAGGTGGGGGCTGCGGCCAGAAATGCTGCTGCGGAGCCTGCGGAAGTTGCGGTTGTGGAATTTGAGCAGCTGCCGTTTGAGCTGCTTGCGCCTGGAGGAACTGCATGAGGGCGGCATACTGCCCGCCCTGGGTGGAGGCGGCTGCCTCGGCCTGCTGGTCGACCCTGCTGGTGTTTCCAGCGGCGGCGCGGAGGGCTTCGGTGACAGCAGCAACCACCAGGTCGGTTTTCTGATTGCTTTGCTTTCGCAGTTTGCGCCCCGTCTCGTACTGAATGGCAGTTTTTAACATTTCCGACAAACTTTTAGGGTTGGTGATCTGGAGAACGTGCGCAATGTCCTCGTGGAGGCCTGCGAGGAACTGCCTCTTCATCTCTTCTTCCAGTAAGTGCTGCTTGATATTTTCGGTTTCTTCGGCATGAGTTTCCCGGGCGTCAAGCATTTTGTGGGCGGCTGTTTCCAAGCGAAGGTAGAATTTCTTCACATTTTCCCACTCTTCTTGTTTCAGGCGCTCGAAGGAGCTCTTGAGAGTGCTGTAGTCCGCTGCCTGCTCGAACTTTTCGGCGAGGAGCTTCTCCAGTTCACCGAGCGTCATTTTCCTGCTGTCCAGCTTCGAGGCATACTTAAAGGCTGGACCGGTCAGGTTGCCAATGGCCACGCTCACCAACTCGGCTTCAGTGATGGCGGGCGTGAGGAACTTTGCCCTCTCGATGCTCTGGATGAACTTCGAGAGCGACGTACCATGTTCGTCTCCGTAGTGGCTGACCCGCATCCCTGCAAATTGCTTGCTGAGAAGAGCGGCGGCTGCGTTGGCTGCAGCGCTTGCAGTGTTGGCGATCAAGTCGTCCGCCTTCTGTTGGTCGACGGTGTTGACGAGGAATTGCTCGAAGTCTATGAGTGGGGAGCTCATCTTGACGGTGTGAGTTTACAGATTCGCGCTCAAAATGCCACAACAGATAAAAGAGGGAGTTCTATTCAAGTGCAATAAATGCTCTCAATCAGAGCTTCAATTAATTATTAAATTTTAATTCGGCAATTATTCCTTCAAAACTCGCGAAAAAAATGAAAAAAATGCAACTTGGTTAGAGACTCAATACAAAGGGCACTTAACTTAACAGCTCTGGTTCTCTGGGTTCAGGTCAGCCAACAGATTCCTCCTAGTAGCGACGGCGTCCCGTGCAAGGAGGGCGGGAAAATGGCTGCCTGCAGGTGCGGACGCTGTCCGGAACTGTTTGTGGTCGGATGGTGATTGCGGTTCGGAAGAGTCCTTCTGCGCAGTGGGGACGTTCCTCTCGGGGCACAATTGAGCACCCCACACACCTGAACACCAAATCTGTCGTGTAACGACACAGAATTAATATCAACATCCATCCGAGCCCAAACTTAACGCTATTCCCAGAGCTGGAGACTGGCCAAGGAGAACTCAGTTTTGTGTTGCTTCAGGGTTTGTGTTTAAGCTTAATTGGGTTGAGAAAGAAAGCTGGCCTTGCTCTTGCCTTAACCCTTAAGTTGCTGACTAGTTAAGTCTCCACTAATTGGCTAATCCTTAATTTGATGTTTAATTCTTATTCCTACCTTTTAGCTTTACTTTAGTTGTTTATGTTTAATTTACTTAGCTTTAACCTCTTAGTTTAACATTCACTCAAACACGTGTGGCACACGTGCATCTTAATTACTCTTAATTCAGCTTAAATTCTCTTAGTTGCTTTTAATTTAGTTTTAGAATAACTCTTAATTACTTTACTTTATTATTCTATTTCAGGGTTTATGTTTGACTTCAAATACGACAACAGATATAATTTAAAATTATGATTAAAGTTATATTTTCTTAAGTCCTAAACAATTACAAAATATAATAATAATTCGCTTAATAAATGGCCAGAATAGTTACGTTAATATTGTTAATTGAGAGAGTTTTGTAAAAAGGGGATTCTTGGGTGCTTAAATAACAATTACCAGAATTGGTCAAAATTTGCTTCTCAACAATGGCGATTTCGGAGATTGATAAAGTGTACGTGTTTGCGCTGTGAGTCTCCCGGGCCGTCTGACTTTGACTTGTCCGTTGGCGCTCAGCATTGAGGCAGGCCCGCGTCGACAGGACGCGGAAGTAGGCAGCGCCAGTCAGGGCGCGACGCTCAGGTAGTTTTTGCTCAGGTGGCGGCGCGCGAGAATACAAAAGTTTCGGTGGGGTTGACTTTACTACAGGATAGGGATTCTCTCTTAATTTTCAAATGGCCTAAATTGTCTTAAAATAATTATGTAGCTGTTTTGCTCAGTCTTAGTTCTCGGTCCGTAGCTCAGACTGGACCACGTCAGTGAGTCGTTTTCATCCTTTTAAAATAAATAATTTTGATTGACTTTTCGATTGGCAAAGGTTGAGTGGACCGTGGCGAAGCAAACGTGTGCCAAGCTCGGCCTGCGCTTGGCCTCAATCTTGAACGAAACCGAAATGAACCTCATGTGGACCAAGGCCCAGGAAATTAGCCCTGGTAGGACAAAAGGTTTTTAGTTTTTATATAATTTATTGCAATCAATCTCGAAATTTGCAGACTGGGCTTGGTGGGTTTCGGCGGAAAATTGCGGAAGTAGCGAGTTCCGTTGGGGCGACGGCTCGAAACTCGAGTTGGACAGCCCGTTGTGGAAGGACGGCGCGGACAAGCATCTCGAGTGCGTGTTCATGACGCCAGGGGGCAAGTTGAGCGCCACCGAATGCACCGGACAAGCCAATTTCATTTGCCAGCTGCCGTCCGAGTGCTACTGAGCGATTGTCTTTCAATCAAATCTTTTATGTTCAAATTATAATTTTTTTCAATAAAAACATCTACCAAACAACTCTTAAATCCGAGTTTTTGTTGAAAATTATTTGAAATGAATAATTTGTAAAATAAAAATAAAATTAAAGCTGTAAAAACTGAATAGAATGCAAAAACATATTTTTTTAAGATGCACCAAAATATTTCGTTAAAGTAAATCTCCTACCAATTTTATTTCATATTGTTTAATTTTGAATTGAATTCAATAAAACCTAACCTATTTGCCTCAAATTCATGAAAAATCCTCATTTTGCAACTTATAACTAATCCACGAACAGATCATTTCCAGTTTTGTTGCTGCAACGCCATTATAAAATCAATAATTTTTTCTAAACGGTGTTTTCAAAATAATTTAAATTCAGTAATCTGTTTTAAAATGATAATGGCGCATCTTTTAGCTATCCTAGTTTTTTGATCAGGTTGCCTATTTTAAAGGGGCACAACACTTTATAAATTGACTTTTTGTCAGGGTCAATGACCTTTGACCTAGAAACTTGGTACTCATCAAGAAAAGATACCTTGGCTCATTAGCTCCAACCTCCCTTTGAGAAAATTAAAAAATCTCCACCCAAATTATTTTGGCAGCAATTTTTGTAAAACATTAATTACATAAATTGGCCATATTGGAAATTGACAAAAAAAAAATGAACATTTTCCATTAATTGGGTTTAATAAGAAGCAAAATGTGAGCTATCATGATAATTAATTGTAGAGATAACTTAATTCCGAGCGATCAAAAATTGTCTATTTTTTTCAGAGTCGAGAAAAATGCAAAAAAAATCTTTCTCAACCTTAAATTTAAACGTTCTTAAAAAAATTACGCTGTGACCTCCAATTTCCTGTTGCCAATTCTGGATCAGGATTAACAAGGAACATTTTGGAGTGTCGCAAACCGTTGTAAAAGATAGTTTCGTTGACTTGAAATTGAAATGCAATCAAAGGATTTTAGAGAAATTTTAGCCATGTTCAATAAATTAGCGATTTTCTTAAAATTTATGATTCCCCATTTCATGGTGACCCTTGTAACCTGAGAAGTAATAGTTTTTGTGAAGGATTCCTCTTTAATTAAATAAGAACAAGTCAATGTTGTGCTATTTCATGTTTTAAATATTCGAGGTCATTAGAGATTCATTGTGAACCTGTTGCAATTGATAGTAATTAGTTGACATTTCCAGCGAGAAAGTCGTTTGCCTGGGAAAACCAATTTTGTCATGTGTACGTTTTGTTGTAAAATTGAAGCACAGGTTTCTTTTGAGACAAATTTTTCAACTTCAGATTTTCCCCCTGCAATTGAAAAAAAACAGTTCTCTATTTCTTTAGAAACTTCGCTGTTTTTAAATGTCCTCAATTTTTGTTGCCGTCAATGGAATCGAGGGCATCAAATTCCGATAAAAATGCGCGTCGGCTTGAGAGCTTGTTTCGGTCATTCGCACAGCAAGAGTCACGAGATTAAGAGGTTCTTGAGAAGATGGTCCGCCTTTGGTTGTTGCCTTTGTTGGTGGTCGCCACCGTCCTGGCCAACGAACCCCAGCAAATCGGAAAACCAATCAAGGTACAAAACGGAAACTACCTGTTTCTTACTTAAAAATCTTTAAATATTTTTTTACCAATTTATTAACTTTATTTTGATTAATAAATAAATAAGTAAAATAAAATAATAATAAATGAAAATAACAGGCACTTTTTTTTTAATCGGCCACACTTTTGGCAAGGGTCAACCGATTTGAATGAAATTTGGCAGGTCGGTTGCTCTTAGGGTGTAAACAAATAGTTTAGAAGGATTTTTGAAAATTCTCAAAATTGCCTATTTTACAGGGGCTCAAAGATGCTGATTTTGAAAAATGGCGTTTTCAATAATCGAAAATATCTCAGCTCCTGTTGCAGATAGCGCATAAGTTTATATAAGCAAAATTGTAGGGAATTAGACGCCCTACAACTTTGCTATAGTGACCAAGGTCGTAGGTCAAACCTGAAGGTCATTTATTTTTTGCTCATTTTTTTCAGGCTCTACCAAACTACCAAGGCAATAAATTTTTTTGATTCCAAAATAGCCAAAAGTTGCTCCAGTTAGTAATAAACAACATATCAAAATTTGGTGATACTTATTTTTTTCGTTTTTGAGATATTCCGGATCAAAGGGCAAAAAACGTGGTTTTCCGAGCGTTTTTTGTGCAAATTTTATTTTAAACCTCCATAACTTTTTTCCTGTTAGAGTTAGGATTAAATGTATTATGACAAAAAATAATTGCCTTTAATTTTTCTTGCAGGTCATGTATCACACATGGTGATCAGGTCACAAAAGGGCATTGACCCCATGGTGACCTGTGACCTTTTTGAAATATTTTACGTGTGTGACACATGGATGGAAAGAGGATGTCAACAGGAGCATTTTGGTACCCGGATTTTTGTTCTAGCATCAATAGATGTGAAGTTACATCTATTTTTAAATAATTTATTCGTCGGATTCCCACTTTTGCAGCACAAAATCTATGATAACTTCACTTGTATTGATGCTAGAACGAAAATCCGGGTACCAAAATGCTCCTGCTGACATCCTCTTTCCATCCATGTATCACATACGTAAAAAAATTCAAAAAGGTCACAGGTCACCATGGGGTCAATGCCCTTTTGTGACCTGATCACCATGTGTGATACATGACCTGCAAGAAAAATTAAAGGCAATTATTTTTTGTCATAATACATTTAATCCTAACTCTAACAGGAAAAAAGTTATGGAGGTTTAAAATAAAATTTGCACAAAAAACGCTCGGAAAACCACGTTTTTTGCCCTTTGATCCGGAATATCTCAAAAACGAAAAAAATAAGTATCACCAAATTTTGATATGTTGTTTATTACTAACTGGAGCAACTTTTGGCTATTTTGGAATCAAAAAAATTTATTGCCTTGGTACTTTAGTAGAGCCTGAAAAAAATGAGCAAAAAATAAATGACCTTCAGGTTTGACCTACGACCTTGGTCACTATAGCAAAGTTGTAGGGCGTCTAATTCCCTACAATATTGCTTATATAAACTTATGCGCTATCTGCAACAAGAGCTGAGATATTTTCGATTTTTGAAAACGCCATTTTTCAAAATCAGCATCTTTGAGCCCCTGTAAAATAGGCAATTTTGATAATTTTCAAAAATCCTTCTAAACTATTTGTTTACACCCTAAGAGCAACCGACCTGCCAAATTTCATTCAAATCGGTTGACCCTTGCCAAAAGTGTGGCCGATTAAAAAAAAAAGTGCCTAAATAAAAATTTTACAACAGAATCTGGAAGTTGGTGGAAAGCCGGGGGAAAATTCAACAACTGCTGAGGTTTAAAACAATTTTTGTATCTTTTTGTTTGTGTAAATAAAAATCATTCTTTTTTCAGGCCTTTGAACCCACATTATCGCCCGAATGCATCCTCGCCCGTTAGTTTTATTAACATAACAAAATCACACTTTATCAGATTAAAATAAGAAATTTACTACATTTCAGGATCATCTTCATTGACTGAGCTGACGAACGGAAAAAAGTACCTGTTTATAAAATCACACGTAAGCATTTGGCTCGACATCAGTTTCGTATTCCTAAAAAAATTGAATTTATTCAGGGAAATTGGACCGAGTCGAGGGATAAATGCGCCGAGTTGGGCCTTCATTTGGCAGTCCTGAAGGACCGAAAAGACCTGAAAGTGCTTGAGCGCAAGGTCAACCAATTCACTGGTAAGAATTGGCTTTTTTAATAAATTTCTTTTTAATTTTCCCTGCATCAGACTTCAGCTGGTGGGTTTCGGCCAAGGACGAGGGAAGCGACGGCCAACTGGACTTCCGTTGGCACGACGGGTCCAAGTTGGAGCAAAACAGCAATTTCTGGGACGAGGGAACCAACAAGACCCTCGGATGCGTCGAGCTCAGGGCCATGGGAAACAAACTGAGCGGCAAAAAGTGCAGCTACAAATACGGGAATTCCGTCTGCGAGCTGCCAAGTGAATGCTACTGAAAGCAATTCTAGAAATTATTGTTGAGAAATAAATTTTATGAAATGTACTTTTTTTTCAAAATAAACCTGAAAGAATAATTATCGAAAAATTTAATCGCAAGTGTTTCAAATTTCAAGAGCACTAAATCTAATTAAATGAAATCTCCTGTATCATTTTTTTTTTATTCTTCCATTCTTCAGTGAAAATGTTGAGAGAAATTACTGTAGAAAAAAAATAAACGACGTTTAAATGACGCATTTTAGCAAAATGATGTAATATATGAATTAAACACATTGTTTGTTTTCTTTTGCGGTTACAACGAAGATAAGGATTTTGATAATTTGCGGCAATTGTGCATCAGCTGTGATGAGCGATTCCGGTTTGACATTGCTTTATTTAAGAGAGGAAATTTATTAGCACTTTCAACTCGTACAAAATTTTTTGTGCTGCAAGCATGAGCGCTGTAGACTATCTTGAAGTGATCGCCGAACCTTCCGGCGCGACCGACAATTCCAGATTACAAATTTGTGCTGGGCCTTCGGACCCGAATTCGGCCCGACTGCCGCTGCCGACGAGAGTTTTCTCCAAAATGTCCACCAAGAGTTGTTCGACGAGAAACCTGAAGATCGCCTTTGCCGTGATTTTGATTTCCTTCTTCATCGGCACCGCCCTCCTTAATTATTTCCTCTTTAAACTCAAAGTGAGGCAAATTATATGAAATTTTTGTTTTTATATTTGAAGGAAAACAACCACGGATTTTATAAATTAATATATATATAATCTCGTTTTAAAAAAAATCACCAATCCAAATTCTTAAAATGTAAAAAAATTAACGCTTATGAAACTTTCAAAGACCTTGGATCTGATTGAAACTATTGAAACGAAAAATGATGAGCTAATGAGGACCATTAATGAGACTGAAACTGCCCAGCGCCTCCATCAGGTGATGTTATTTTTAATATAAATACGAATTAAAGAGAAAAAAAATTGTTAATTTAAGAAAGACGTGAATTGAATTTATGTTAAAAGTAAACCAAAACTTAAATTAACTTTGCTTTCTACTGAGGAAGTTGGAAAATAGAGATTTGATAGAAAACGCCAAGAAGGATTTTAACCACAGGCTGGACGCATTTGCCAAGAGCCACAAAATTTTGACAGCAAAACTGGTCAAAGTTGAAAAACTCGCCGACCGCCACTCTCAGGTTGAGCCAAATTATTTTCGCTGATTGATTTTAAATAAAAATTTCCAGACCTTGCAAAGATTCTTGCCTCACTGCAGCCTTGCTCGTAAGTCTTCAAAATAAGATTAAAAATGGCGCAAGAATGAAAAATTGACAATATTTCAGGATCAGCAAAATTGTGACGCTCTCTAACGGCAAAAACTACAATTTTTCTCTTCCAAATGTGGTAAGCTGAATCACAGAAATCTTTCCAAATTTCAGTTTCACACTTTTTACCTTTCGCAGGGAAACTGGAGTTTTGCCAACGAATCTTGCGCCAAGCAGGGTCTTCACTTGGCCACCATCACGGATTCCAGAGATGCCCAAGTGGTGGCAGCACAAGGCGAAAAGATCAAGCCTGGTGAGAGATGATCTTCAGAATTTATATTTTTCGCCTTATGATTAAATTAATTCTGGTCTCGTAGGTTGGGGTTGGTGGGTTTCGGGAAAAAGAGGAAGTGAAAAGGACTTCCGCTGGCAAGATGGCGCCAAGTTGGAGTTGAACAGTCCGTTGTGGTACGACGAAGCGGACAAGTCAAAGGATTGTGTTCGTATCCACGATTGGAAAACCAAAGGAAAACTTTACACGTTTGATTGCACCGATAGTTTTCGGCCTTTCATTTGCGAACTGCCCAGCGAGTGCTACTCATGATTGGTTTTAAAATTTAATTATATGCAGAGAAATTAATTAATGTTGATTGTCTTTGTTAGCCTCTTCTGTATGTTTTGAGAATAAAAAATACTCATAAATTAAAAAAATTATAGTTTTTAATTATCTTATTTATGAATTAATTAAAACATTTTATTTATTTCAAAATTAAAAAATTCAATATTTAAATATTTAATGTCAAGTTAAATTTATATTGAAAACTTGATTTTATTATAAATTTGTACCTATTTTAATTTTAAGGGAAGAAATTTTTATAAATATTTGGGGTATCGCATGTGAAATAATTGTATTATTCTTTTCATTTTGCACAGCATATTTCACAATTACGCCATAAAAATAGAAAATTTCAGTGATAATTTTCAAGTCGAACTTGAACCTTTCACAAAGGTCATTAATTTCAAATTTGATCAAATAAAAGCATGGGACAAATTCGAATTTTTAATAAAATATTAAAAATTCCTGAATTAAAATATTTACTTCCAGTTAACCTTCTGTTATTAAGAGAAGTTCTTTCCTTCAAAATTTATTGATTTATATTTAGTTAATTTCATGGCCACATTTTACAGATTGGATATCTTGTTTCGAATATTTTTTTTTTGTTTCGCGGGGTCAGAAGGCAGCGCGATAAAAGCTGAATCAAGTGCGACGATTAAAAATAGAAACACTGACCATGGCTCGCTTTGTTTTGGCCAGCGAGCCTTCAAGCGAGTTACTATAAAAAAAATTTAATTCAATTTAATTATACAAAAACCACCAAGTATTAATTGGGGAAATCAACGGCAAAGTAGTTTTGAATATGGTTTGTTAATTAACATTTTGGTATCAAATGAAAAGGTTTTTAAACACTTCATAAAAAGCTAGAAAATGGAAATAAAAAGTGGTAAAATTTTGAAAATAAGAAAAAATAAGACACAACTTTTCTGATCATATCAGTTAAAGTTTCAGATCTCAAAACTAATTGCTGCAGTTTTAATATTTTCAGATTATTCCAATGAAGAAATTGTTGTGTCAATCGGATTTATTTTAAATAATTTTGAAAGTTTTTATCAACCTTGTATAATTATTGAAATCCAAAAATCTTCACTTTAATCTGCAAAATACTATAGAGGTTTTGTACAAATAAAATTAAAAAATAGAAATAAGAACAAAAATGCCCTGCGACCTGAGAGTGCGCTTTGAATTGTTGTCGGAGATTATTTGTAATAATTTTATAATGTTAATTTGAACAAAGACGGAGCATTTTTGCGTTGCTAACTATTTTTAATTGTGTAAATTTGCGAAGAGGCAAAATAATCTTCAGCTCTTCTCATTTGATTAGCAGAGGTCATAAGAGGTCGCTTTTGTTAAATTGAGAAGAAAAAATTAATCTTGCTAAGGAAAAATTACGCATGAAAATTTTAAAATGCAGCACAAGGATCAATTCAAATTTATTTCCAAAATTTTTTTTTTTTTTAATCGTTTTTCTTTAACTTTTTACTCATTGAATTTACCATTCAATTTAGTAATAAATCCACATTTTTAATTATACAAATCTTAATTTTCCAGAGGCTTGTAGAAAAAATGATGATAATCTTCTGTTTTTTTTTCTGATTACGTAAAGGGCGGGGATAAAAGGCGATCGGAGAGCGACACACAATTTAATTAAAGACCGACCATGGCTCGTCTCGTTTTGCTGCTAGTTTTGCTCGTCGGTGCCGCCCTGGCCAGCGAATCTTCAAACAAGGTAGGAAAAAATTCAAATAAAATAATGCTTAATAGAAATATCCAATTTTCACTATTTTCAGCCTTCCGAAGTCGAAACGCGATGCGACCGCGCTCGTGAGTTACAAAAATTTCAATTTTAGAAATTAATTAATAAAATCTGCAGGTTCTTCAAAGTTGACTTTGCTGTCCAACGGCAAGAAGTACTCCTTCCACACAACTTTTGTAAAAACTCAAAGTTCGTTTGAATTTTTTATTTAATTTTTCCCTAACAGAAAAGGTGGAATGACGCAAATGAAACGTGCGCCAATCAGGGCCTTCATTTGGCCACGATCAAGAGTCAAAATGAGGCCGAGCTGGTCGCCGCAGCAGCAGAGAGAATCGAGGATAGTGAGAAGAAGAACCACTTTTTTATTTAAAAATTAACAAAATTTATAACTTCAGCCGGATTTTGGGTTTCTGTGAAAAACCAAGCAAGCGGAAATCGGAAGGACTTCCGTTGGCAGGACGGGACGAAATTGGAGTTGGACAGTCCGTTGTGGTCGGGCGGTGCGGACAAGAAGAAGGACTGCGTTTACATCTTCAACTGGACCAGGGGCAAATTGAACGGATATTCCTGCACCGAGCGTGCCTACTTCATTTGCGAACTGCCCAGCGAATGTTACTTGTAAAAATTTGGCACATTTGCTCGTGGAATAAATTTGGTTTAAAAATACAGGTTTTTAATTATTCATCACAAACATCCAATGGAATTTAATTTAATCCGGACAATGTTTTTAAAATATTTTAAATTCGATTCGCTACAAATTTTGGCAACATGTAAAAAAACTACTCTGCATTCTAATAATAAATTAATTAATCTTGACAACCTTTATTAATTGATATCTTGTTTGTTTCGCATACAATTTGGAGGGCAAAGGGCAGTGATAAAAGCTTTCGCTGCGTCTTCCCTTGAACCAGATTTGATAATTGGGCCATTCATTTGGCACGTGATTTTATTTACTGTCATAAGAATAAAATTTAAAATTAATTTTAATAAATATTTGCGATTTTAATTATTCATATTTTTAAGCACAAATTAAGTGCTGCTGTTTATCAAATAATCAGGATTAAGAAATATACTAAAAAGGAATTATAATTTTTATTTTCAATGACAGTTTATAAGAATTGGTACAAAAAAGTTCCAATAAGGTGATATAATTAATTATTGAGAGATATCAAATGAATTTTTTTTTTATTTGTCCACAAATTATTTACGTGGTCCTATTTTAATCTTGCATATTTTAGCCAAAAGGGCAGAGGGCAGTGATAAAAGGCTCCATAAAAGGAGACCCAATTCATTATCATCATTCGTGAATCAAGAATCGTGAGAAAGAAATGGTGAAGCTGCGCTTTTGGTTGTTGCTCTTTTGCATCCTCGCCACCGTCCTGGCCGACGACGACGACTCCCAGCAACAAACCGACCAATCAACAGAGGTACAGTTCCCTTCAGTTCAGCTCTGGAGATAATTATTGAAATTTTCATGATATAAATATTAACAACTCAGTCCACAATCCACAAATTTGACCTCATTTAATATTTTATAAATTTATTTGGGAAATTTGTACTTGTAATTAGAAAGCTTTGAAGGCACAAAATGGCCGAGATAAATTATAAAGGAAAAAGCCCAAATTTAAATATTAAAATCAAATCATCAAATTGTAATGAAATTTGTAACATCTGAAGGGAACTTATTTACTGTCCATTTTTTGCAGGCCACAGAAACAGAAAAGCCGCTGGAAGCAAAGGCAAATGAGGGTATGGAGATAAATTTGAATATTACCGACAAGAACCTGCTCGCATTGATTAAAATCATCGAGAAACGCCACTATCAAGTATGAGTGACAATAAAAATTTTAATTTAAAACGTACTTTAATAAATTATATGTCAAAATTGAATAATTCCGGCAATTAATTTTGTCATTAATTATATAAAAAAGACTTATATCGCTTGCAGGTGGCGGAGCAATTTGTAAGTCAAGCTACTCAGACGGGCCAGAAGTTTTTTGAGGTGGAGAGAAACTTTGATCAACGCTATAATCAGGTAGGAAGATAATTTTATTGATAGAATTTCATCCCTTTTTAATAAATTATCCAATTATATTTGCAGGTGGCCAGGGAAATGATAGACAGAGCTACCGTGACAAATAGAAAGTTGAGTGATTTGGAAAATCTAATTGACAAGCGCCTGAATCAGGTAAAGCAATTCGCTGGATTTAGTGGAAATTAATTTAAATTCTAGATCTTGGAAAATGACGAGAAAAAGGCAAAGGAAAATCAAGAGTCGGTGAAGAAATTCAATGAAAGGTTTGATAAGTTGGAGAAACTCAATGAACAGGTGTGAATTGGAAATAAATATTCTTACTTTATTTGTAATTATAATTTAATTGAAGACCTTAACTCAAGTGAAACAATTGGAGGAGGAGAGGGGCAATGACAGGAACAAGCTGGACCAAATTTCTAAATCGACGGAGCACCATTCAAAGGTTTGAAACCGAATTTACAAATCACTCTTTTATTGGCTGGACATTTTTCAGTTGTTCGATCTGACATTCCCGGAGGCCTCCTGCAAGTTCTCTGGTAAGATTTCCAAGGAAAACTTATACAATTTGTTGTTTATTCCAAAAGATTGCGAAAATTTGATGAAAATCTTGTAAAATTACTAACCTGACAGTTTTCTCCCAAATAAATTCAGATTTTGGTCACTGGTGGCGCTGCGAACGCCAAGATTTTTAGCTAGCAGCGCCAACAACGGCCAAAATTGAAACTATTTAGGAGAAACATGATTGAAAGACCCCCCCCTCTTCAGATTTATTTTCAAATTTTCACAAGATTTACTCAAACTTTTGCCATCTTTAAGAATAAACAGCATCTTTTTGTGCGCAGCTCAGGCAAACCTGAAGACGCTTTCCAACGGCAAGAAGTACGTCTTCCATGAGGATAACGTAAGCAATTTCAAAATAAATCCCTGCGATTTCTTTAATAATTTTTTTTACTGCAGAACAACTGGAATTCTGCAAAAGAGATTTGCGCCAATCAGGGTTTGCAGTTGGCCACGGTCAAAGATAAAAAGGACGCTCAGGTGGTCGCAGCAGCCGGACGAAATATCTACGGTAGCATAAGTTGCATATTCGAGTCACAAAGATTGAATTATTGTTTTTGGCAGGGGGCGGATGGTGGGTGGCGGCGACGAACGCGACAAGTGGCGCCGACAAGACTTTCCGCTGGCCCGACGGCACCAAGCTGGAGTTGGACGATCCGTTGTGGTTCAAAAGCGCGGCCAAGAAGTACGACTGCGTCTACGTCTACAATTGGGACGACGGCAAATACGACACCTACCCATGCACCTATTATTTCAAGTTCGTTTGCGAACTGCCCAGCGAATGCTACTGATCGTTGCTTTCAATTAATTCAAATTTATATTTTTGTTCTGCAATAAAAATGCTTATCATGAGACTATTCTTATTTAATCACCATATTTATAAAAAGAATTATCTTCATTTAATATAATTATTTTAAATACAAAGCTTATAGATTTCCCAAGAGTTTTTAATTGGAAAATTATGAAAATTGAACTTGATATCAAATGAACTTTTAAATTCTTTAGAGCTATTTGCAATTAATCATGCCCAGAATTAAAATGCCCAGAAAAAATAAACCTTATGAAAAAAATTTGTCTTAAAACTTATAAGTTGATGAGTTCCAATTTTTTTAAATTTTTTTTTTTAGGCTTATTAATTTCCCTGTTCGCATTAAGGATTATTTTCACGAGAATCCTCGATTCCTGGCATAAAATTATCATTAATATAAGAAACAATGCTCATCTTTCCATGCAAAGCTTTCATGGATCGCCTGCAGTCTTCGAAAGTAGGCAACCCGCACATCGTCCATGCATAGCTAGGAAATTTAACTCTCCTCTCTGTGAAAATAATTTAAAAAAAATTATACTCGGAATGTTATTTCAAGAAAAAATTAAATCGTTTTATGAAATTTTGTAATTTATCTCTGATATTTCCAATCGTCAATAATTTAATAGAAAACGTGAATTATTTGGCCAGGAAAATATGGATTAATATTCAAGTCTAAAATTATACCTTCAACTTAAATTACTTCTCGAGCAGGTCTTGATGTGCCACGATTGCCCTTTGGACAATTTGACCCGGTCGTCATTCAATCTCGTAAATATATTGTAAAGCAAATTTAAAGAAGTAATGGTGGAAAGAAAAATTAAATAAATATCGCAGGGCAGAGGGCAGTGATAAAAGAGAGAATAAAAAGCTTCTGCGAATCGACAGAGGAACACTCGAGTGGAAAGACCGACCATGGCTCGACTCATTTGGCTCGTCGTTTTGCTCGTCGCCGCCGCCCTGGCCAACGATTCTTCAAACAAGGTACGCAGAAAATTCAATTAATTCTCATTTGAGTGTGAAGTTTTTATTATTGATGTAGAATAATGTTAGATAGGGTCTTGATGTTTCTTTTCTTTAGTCAAAACCATTTTCGGGGTGAGATTATTATACTGAAACTCTGCGAGGAAAAATGGGCTTGAAATAATGGAATACCACAATTAAAAGAAATTACTCTTTTAATTCAGTCAATACTCAACACAGTGTACTTTTTTTTGCGTTGTATGTACTATGAATGGAGAATAAATAAATAAACATGTTACCTTTTTTATTCTCTCTAAGTACAATTTACTCAATTGACAAAAAAACTTGGATATTGAGACAACAGAGTAACATAGCTGGCTTGGATTTCGCCCAATGCCAGGGCTCACCAGCAAGACCTTTTCAACTGGACTTCACACTAAAGCATATTTGCTGATTGGGCGAAATCTCGATCCAGGCCAGTTAAATTGCTCCCTTCTGAGTTTGTTTTAATTTAATAATAAAAATGTTGGTTTGCATTCAATTCTTTCAAGCTTAAAGGAGTGCTGACCCCTCGCTTTGACTTTAATTCCTGATTCAATTAAGGGTCCTGATTAAAACCTGAAAAGGGCGGCCGAAAATTCGGCGTTTTCGTTGAGAAATCTCAAAATGAAATTGGGCTGATTGGACTTTTTTTGCGCTTGGTCGCCATCTTGGTCCAACAATCGAAAATGTGAAATTGTTGTTTGCAATTTGGATGGCCGTGACCTGAGCCACGTTAGGTCAAGAAAATACCATGAAAAATAATTGAAAATGAATAAAATTTTGTGAAATCAAAGCTAAAGAGTTGCTTGAAATGACCCTTTAATTGAAATTATTAAATTATTTAGCACACATGAGATATAAAAGGGTTTGCTAAAAGTGCTGCCATTTGAAAACTAATTTTTTTAGAAGAAAAAACTTAATGGAAAATTTGTAGCTAATAAAACGCTCCTTCTTTTTGTAACAGTACAAAGTACTGCACAAATTTTTCTTATTTAAGAAAAAATGAAAAATAAAAAAAAAATTACATTTTAGGTTAAAGGGAATTTTTTAATATTTTTTTCGAAATAGCCAATCGATTCAGCATGTCTTTTTTAGTCAAGATCTAAATTTTCGCTAATAAATTCTTGACAGTTAAAAAGTAACATCAAAAAATTTCAAACGGGTCGTGCCCTGTTTTAAGATGAGAGAGTTGTCATTGAATATTTTGATGTTACTTTTTAACTGTCAAGAATTTATTAGCGAAAATTTAGATCTTGACTAAAAAAGACATGCTGAATCGATTGGCTATTTCGAAAAAAATATTAAAAAATTCCCTTTAACCTAAAATGTAATTTTTTTTTTATTTTTCATTTTTTCTTAAATAAGAAAAATTTGTGCAGTACTTTGTACTGTTACAAAAAGAATGAGCGTTTTATTGGCTACAAATTTTCCAATAAGTTTTTTCTTCTAAAAAAATTAGTTTTCAAATGGCAGCACTTTTAGCAAACCCTTTTATATCTCATGTGTGCTAAATAATTTAATAATTTCAATTAAAGGGTCATTTCAAGCAACTCTTTAGCTTTGATTTCACAAAATTTTATTCATTTTCAATTATTTTTCATGGTATTTTCTTGACCTAACGTGGCTCAGGTCACGGCCATCCAAATTGCAAACAACAATTTCACATTTTCGATTGTTGGACCAAGATGGCGACCAAGCGCAAAAAAAGTCCAATCAGCCCAACTTCATTTTGAGATTTCTCAACGAAAACGCCGAATTTTTGGCCGCCCTTTTCAGGTTTTAATCAGGACCCTTAATTGAATCAGGAATTAAAGTCAAAGCGAGGGGTCAGCACTCCTTTAAGTCTTAGTAAAACAATCTCTAAAATTTAACTATGATGGAATTAAATTATTAGTTAATATAGAGAAGATGTTACATAATTTTAATTAGAAGGTTTGAAAATGACAATTTTTTAAATCGAACTTAAAATTCAATTCAAGGAACAAAAAGGTTTTTTTATTTATTAAATTTATTTTATTACTTTATAAAACTTTGTTAAAGCAAGGAATTTGACTGTGAAATAAATTAACAATGGCGAGAAGAAAAAAAATTCATGATTTCAGCCGCAAGAATCCGAGTTTCGACAGGAAATTCTGACAAATTTGAACAGGACGAATGAAAAGCTGGATCGCTTGATGAGAATCGTCTTCAACCAGGTTAAAATTTCAATAAATATTTTTACAAATGAAAATAATAATGATTGAACGTCTCAAATTGTGTGACTTTTGCAGCCTGGAGAGACGCGGAGACTTGTGGAGGAGCAAAACGAAAAGTTAAGGGAGGAGTTGATCAAACTTTCCAACGCGACCAACGACCGACTGGACCAACTGGCCAAAACTGTCGACCAGCACCAGAATCAGGTAAATAATAATTATTAATTGTTAGGGCTTAGATCAATTTTGGAACATTTGGTAAATTTGCTCCTGAAAACATGTGCGCTGAAAATATCTTGAATTTTGAACCAAACTATGGACGCGGTGAGAAATTGTAAATAAAAAACTTTCAACCTTTGAACGTGGTGGATGATAAAAATAATTTTAATTCAGTCACAAAATCTGATTTTTAATTCAGGCAGACTTGTTACTTTGTTTTTAATCGCTCTAAAATTTCATTCAAAATACCGGCAAGAGTTTGAAATTAAAAAATATAGACAAATCATTGAAATTGAAAGTTCTGTTTGCGACGCCTTGGATAAAAACAGGTAAATTGAAAGTTGGCCGCCTCGGCAAATCTGACATGATTCATGATTGAATCATGTTATTTTTATGAGACATTCATCAAAATAAAATGTTCCTGTTTTCAGATTTTTGAAATCATAAACTCGTTGAAATGCATCGTTGCTCGTAAGTTATTTAAATAAAAAAAATTCAAAATGTTGACTGAAAATTTTAACAAAGCGACATTCAAAAATCCAATTCAAATCAAAATGAATTCCAGGTTTGTCGAACTTAACGTTGCTGAATTGCAAGATTTACTCCTTCCATCAAACTTTCGTAATTCTCAACTCGCAGCTTCTTTGAAATTTTCTAATTTCTCTCTGACAGGCAAACTGGACTTCTGCAAACGAGATTTGCAACAAAAATTGTCTCAACTTGGCCACGATCAGAGATCTTAATGAGGCACAGCTGGTCGCGGCTGAAGCGCAAAGAATCAAAAAGGGTGATTTAAAAATGAGAATATAAATCTGCGAATTTTCACTAATCAAAATAATTTTGCTTTTAGGTTATGCTTGGTGGGTTTCGGCAAAAAATCTAGGAAGGGGAAGTGAAAAGGATTTCCTTTGGCGCGACGGGACCAAGTTGGAGTTGGACAGTCCGATGTGGGTGGAAAATGGGGACAAGACGCAGGACTGCGTTCGCATCCATAATTGGACCAATGGAAAATTGCAAGGCTATCCATGCAACAGTGATCAACCTTTCATTTGCGAGCTGCCCAGCGAATGTTACTGAGAGTTTATTTCAATCTGATTAACACCTCGATCAAACAAACTTTTTTAAACTAATTTTTTTCTTGCAAAAAATTATTAATTAATTATTGATTTTTGTTTGGCGGAACATCTAGATGTTGATTTTGTTGTCCCATAATTCTTTTGCGCAATAAAGTTGGTATCACATATTTTTTAGTAACTTTTCTATTTGAATTTCGCTCACAACTCCGCTTGGAAAAACTTCATTAAGGGGACAATGGCTTGGGTTATTTGGAAAGCAAAGAAATAATAGATTATATTTTTCATCTTTAGGGAGAAAAATTCTAAGAATTGTTTCATTTTAAAAATCCTCGGCACTTCAGTTACAATTGATGCTAAATTTAATCAAAAACGGAATTTTTTATTCTAGGGGTAATTTGTATCGCGAAAGATTAAATCAATTAATTCTTTGGAATTTATTAAACTTTTTTAAGTTGAGAGTTTTTTTTACATTACGCATGAAATTTATGCTAAAAAAAATGATAATCTGAGGCGCTGTCGAAATAACTTTTACTAAATAAGCTCCTTCTCTTTCAACCTCAATTTCGTTTTAATTCTCGGCAGGCAAGGGTCATTTTGACTGTCCTTACAAAGCAAACAAATTAAGTGGAACAAATCATTTAGAAATCTCAGCTGCTGAAAAATATAAATACAAACGTTTGCAGGCCAGGGTTAAAATTTTGACGCAAAAAAAAGGAGGAATATGAATTAAATTTTAATTAAAAACATTTTTCTCTTTTGTATATATTGTAAAATAGAAAACAACTTATTTTGATGTAAATTGGCAGTATTTTCCAAATTGTTTTAAGTGCGCGCGTAATTTATATTTATAAAAGGAAAAAAATATTAAAATATAATTAAATTGTAAGTTTATCAGTACTTATTTTACTCAGAATTTGAAATTCATCATACAATTGTCATTCCATTAATTCATAATATATAAAATTATGAACTGATTAAGCACTTTTTGAATTCCATGATTTTACAGGAAAGCTTCATTTTAAAAAATACACAATTCTTTAATTTTACTTGTATTCCTAGAGTTGCTTTTTAATTAGTAAATTTTGACATTAAAAATAAAACGCAAAATTCCAATAGGGATTTTCTTTTGAGGAATTATCAGTTGGCGAAAATTGGGTTTGATTTGATATTCAAGAATTGACCCAATCGAAACCGGAAGCAAAGATAAATCCAGCCGCATCCGCTCGCAAATCCGGCCATTGTGCCGCTGAGGAGAAGAGGCGATGGACCGTTTTCGCTTCTTGCTTTTGGTCGCCGTTCTTTGCTCGGCCCAAACCACAGAGCAAAGCCAGGTAAACTATCAAAAACGTTTATGATTCAATCGCATTAACAAGAAAGATAAGATTTCAGCTCAAATTAATATTTAACGTTTAAATTTCAATCAAATTTTCAGAAAAGCGGATTTGCCGAGCTACAGCAAATTAACAGCAAGTTTAAAAATCTGGTTTGATTTTTATAAAAATATAAATTTTTTTCGGAGAACTTCTCATTGTAATAAATTTCATGAAAGGAGGCCAAAGTGGCGGAATCGGACAAGGAAATTTCAACGCAGCTTCAGTCAATTCTCGCTTTGATGGGCTTAGTTCGGGAAAAACAAGACAAGTTGGAGAAGAAGTTCGACGTAAATTATCAAAATCCATTTGAACCAAGCTCAATTTCTTTATTTTTTCTAATCAGGATTCATTTGAGGTAAATTTCGATTGCAAATCGTTGCTGCAGCAAATTTCAGTTTTGACCAAACAGGCCGACGCGTCGCAAAAGCAATTTGATCGGGTGGTATAAAATAAACTTCATTTGCGGTTTTATGGAAAGATTTGTGTATCCGCTGATTTTTATTAGGTCAAAATCAAAGACGAAGAAATTAGGTTGAAGGAGCAGCAGATTTTGAATTTGGAAAGAGTAAAAATTGATTTGCAGACTCAGGTATGAATTAATTGCTAGGATTTAAAAAAAAAAATCAATGAGATGAGTTTGATGAATTAATCTTCAAGTAAAATTATTGTTTTTTTGTTTAAGTTGTCAACAAAAGAAGAGGAAATCAAAACACAACAGATCTCAAATTTGGAAAGTGAGGTAAAAAACGCAGAGTGAAAATAATTTAAAACGGAATTGTTTTTTACCCAAATCTTTAAGCTATTTTCATTGAAATTTATTTCTAGAAAAACCAAACGTCCTGCAGCGCTCTTGCCCGTAAGTTTGCTAATTCTTTTGAATATGTTTCTAAAAATATTGAATCTTACATTTTTTCAGAAGCAGAAAATTTGAAGTTACTGTCAAACGGAAAGAAGTATTATTTCCATCCCAGTTATGTAAGTTTTAGACTTTTCACAGATTTTTTTTTTTTTTTTAATTTTCTTCCACAGGCAAACTGGACTTTTGCAAACGAGACTTGCAGCAAAAAAGGCCTCCATTTGGCCTCAATTAAAGATCAAAATGACGCTCAGGTGGTCGCGGCTGAAGCTTACAAAATTGATCCTAGTGAGAAGAGAGAAAAAAGCCCATTTTTTTTCTTCTAGAATAAAAATCGTTTTGCTTTCAGCCGATGCTTGGTTTGTTTCGGCGAAAATCCGAGCAAGTGAAAAGGACTTGCGTTGGCAGGACGGGACGAAATTGGACTTGGACAGTCATTTGTGGAAGGACGGCGCGGACAAAAGCAAGGACTGCGTTTGGATCTTCAATTGGCCCAAGGGAAAGTTGAGCAGCGCAACTTGCTCCCATCGACAGCCTTTCATTTGCCAACTGCCCAGCGAATGTTACTAAAAAAATAATTTTGTTTGATCAAAATCCTTAAATTTTTAATTTCTTTGTGAATTTGCTATTCCTATTCCTATATATGTGGCATAATTTGATGAACATTGATTTAAAGCCTTTTTTTTTAATTCCCTTTGAACTTATACAATACAATTTTATATGGTGATTTGAATTTAAAATCGGCTTTTCCTCGATGGGTTTTTGTGAGTTGTTTATTGTTTAAGAAAAAAGCAATATCCTGCTCTACATGTTTCGGCTGCGGGCTGCAGCCATAATTCATGAGCTGCGAAAACATTTGACAAAAATTAGTACAAAATTAAATCTCATGAATTATGGCTGCAGCCCGCAGCCGAAACATGTAGAGCAGGATATTGTTTTTTTCTTAAACAATAAACAACTCACAAAAACCCATCGAGGAAAAGCCGATTTTATATTCAAATCACCATGAATCAACCCTCGATTGTGAAATTCTACCACACAATTTTATATATTTGATAAAAACTGTTATTAAATTGAGAGTTAATCGTATGGAAATTGAAGGAATAAAATTTGATGCAGGAAAAATTTTGTCAGTCTGATTCAGAAATTTGAAAAATTGAGACTTATTCCTCATTCATCATTTGAAAGTGAAAAAGCTTAATTAAATGATAAATCAGGAGGATTTTTGTTTTCCAGTCACGGATTCAAAATCCTTTTGAAATATAACAGCAAAATTCTTCTGAGTAAAAAAAATTAATTTCTTTTTACCTCAAATATCTCCAGAATATTCAAGGAAAAATGTAGTGTCAAAAAAGTTACAAAATTCCCTAAATAAATTTTGATTCAGACTTCAGTTAGAATTTGTTTAATTTGACATTTGAACCGACACAGAAGTTTTGACATTCTCGGCCTAAATGAAAATTTATTAAAATCTGAAAACTTCACTTTTGTTTGTCCGCAAAATTGATTGATAGACAAGATTCATTTTGGATTGTAATTCAAGCAAAAAACGTGGATGCAATTGCAAAATCATCAACGTTTGGATGCTGAAGACGTTTATTTCTAAATTTTAGCATAGAACGTATTAAATATTACGAGATTCAAGTTTAATTTTGAATGAAAAAATTCAAAATATTTTAAAATGGAAAATCATCTTAGTTATTTCAAATAATTTTATGTTGCCTACTTATTATCTGGAAATACCAATTTTTTTTTTGAAATATATCATTTTTGAAATCTTTCTTTAAAGATTTTTCTTCTTCCAAAAACAATTGTCCACAATTTTGCAGACTTTTCCATATGAAAAAGGCGAATCTTGAAACGTTGAACATCACTTTTCCTTGATTCTGGATATAATGAACGCTCAATTATCAATGGCAAAACATACGAATCTGCTACAAATTGAAAAGTACATACAATCCTTCATTCTTCGCTTGTTTTTGTATATACAAGCGGCTTAATTTTTTTTTCACATAATTCACTCCTGCATAGAAGTCAAGGACTGAAACCCTTGATGATTCATATTGTTTTTCTACATAATATTTTTTAGCATAATAATTAGCTCAAAAACCGAATTTTCATGCAGACAGTCCTTAACAGATGTGATGAAAATTAGCTCTCAATCATCATATCTTTCAAAGAAAACTGGCCATCGCAGGAAATAATTATCAACGAACAGAATAAATTTGACAGTTTTCCATCAAAGTATAGTCAATAATTTTCCAGATTGTTTTTTAGATCTCTACTTTCAAAAATCTCCTTAAAATTTATCAAAATTCAACTATATTTCGCTTCTATTAAAATTAAAAAGAAAACTGACTCACCTTAGCTTTTCTGCTGAGGAACTTCTTGAAAACGCCTGAAAAATGGAAGAATGAATAAAAAAATTGTCGCTTCATTAGCAAATTTATATGGAAAATTACCTCAAGTTCCGGCTTCCTTCGGCCCGATCTTCCACTTCCTGCCGAGGCCAGAAGTCAACTGTGACCTCGGCACGTGTCGCCCGAACCACGAAACGTCCAGCGCGGACACTTTCGGACGCCACGGAGACGCACACGCGAGGGCGATCTCGTCGCAAATTAGAGGAAACTGACTGAAAAAAAAAAACAAAGTGATGTGAGGCGTGACGTCATCGCTGCACGTGTGCATCGGCCGAGGTGTGAACCAAGATTAGGCAGGATGGAGGCTGTGAAAAGGGGAGGAGCCAAAAGCATATTACTTAGCATGGTAGGCATAGGGAGGCCCCGCTCTTTTTTCATTCCTATATTCCACAAGAACAAACTTATATTTATACTTAATCATCGCCCCAACCAAAAAAAAAACACGTTAAGTCTTGCATGATTCCTACATTCTTTGCCGATAAAGGAAAACAGCTGAATGCGATTCTAGTGCTCCTCTTTCTCTTTCTCTTTATACTGGTCAGTTTCCCTCCGATTCGCGTCTCGGACGCTCGCGTGTGTCTCTGTGGCGTCCGAAATTGTCCGTGTTGGACGCTTTGTGGCTCGGGCGAACCTGCCGAGGTCTCACAATCAGTCGACCTCTGACCTCTGCAGAAAGTGGCGAAGGAAGCCGGAATTCGAGGTAATTTCCATTTGCCAATCGATTATTTATTTTCATTAATTCCTGCTTTTGATTATTTTTTTAGAAATGTTCAAGATATGTTCAACAATTTAAGAGGAGGTAAGTCAGTTTTGTATTGCTAATTTCTATTACAGCAAAATTTTAACGAATTTATTAGATTTTCGGGGAAAAGAAAGTATTGTATCAATTTCAAATGCAAATTATACGCAATTTTTTCTTGTCACAGGAATAATTTAATTCGTCTGAAATGATTTTATGATTAAGCATCGATGAAATTCTCGCAAGTACAACTAATTAATGTATTGCATAAAATCCTGCATCCAAATAAAAAAATCGATAAAAATTGGGACCTAATACCTAATTTACAAACAAGAGGAGAGGAGGCCAATTTACATAAAAACTTAATTTCCCAACTATTTATTTATTGGGTAAATTCATGGGAGCCCTTCAGAAAGAGAGGTGAAAAAATTCTCTCCTATCGAGACGCATAAATTTTAGTATAAATTCACAAAATGTAATTTATTTCTGAAAAATCTTGCTTTTTGAGCAGAGACTTTTAATGTTTTTTCATTGATTTTAGAACATTTTTACTTTTCATCCTGACCCATGAATCAAAGATAAACTGGTGATTCTTTGCTGCGATTAAATTGAAATGTCTGCGAAAGTTGAGGTTGTACAAATTTTATTTTCTGCATTAATGAAGTATTGTTTTTGACGTTTGTTTACATATCTCCATCTCAAATTTTTGCAAAATTCTACGTTGACATTTTAATGATTTCAGAAGATGAGAACTGCGATTTTAAATTAAATTCATCAGCATGAATCAGAAAATCGCGCTCAGCAAATTGAATCTTTAGTAAAGATTATTGCATTGAAATATATTCATAAAATTAGAAACAAAATTAAATTGCATATGAAATAAAACGCTTGACGATTCAACACTGGGAAAACAAAGATTTCTCTTTTAAAGGGGGAGGGGGTTGAATAAAGTAATTGAGCTGCATTAAATTGAAAGCTATAGCACTTGAGGAGGGATTTCGTTGACCAATAATTGCTATTTTTTTTCAGTCGGCTTCCCTCCATCGGCCTCGCGTGTGTGTCTCTCTGTTGCGTCTGAAATTGTCCGCGCTGGACGCTTTGTGGTTCGAGTGACACCTGCCGAGGTCACACGTCACAGTCGACCTCTGGCCTCGGCAGGAAGTGGAAGATCGGGCCGAAGGAAGCCGGAACTCGAGGTAGTTTTCCATAAATTGGCTAAAAGTGACCATTTTTTAATTCATTCCTCCATTTCTCAGGAGTTTTCAACAAGTTCCGCAACAGAAAAGGTGAGTCAGATTTCTTTTTAATTAATTTACAGGAGCGAAATATAATTTAATTTTGAAATTTGAACGTAGAAATCTAAAAAAAATCTGGAAAATTATCGGCTACTTTGATGGAAAACTGACAAATTTATTCCGTTCGTTGATAATTATTTCCTGCGATGGCATGTTTTCTTTGAAAGATATGATGATTGAGAGCTAATTTTTCTCTTAAGGAATGGCTGCATGAGAATTCGTTTTTTAGAGGCTCATTATTATGCTAAAAAAATATTATGTAGAAAAACAAAATGAATCATCAAGGGTTTCAATCTTTGATTTTTATCCAGGAGAGAATTATGTGAAAAAACACAACAAATTAAGACGCTTAAATATACAAAAACAAGCGAAGAATGAAGGATATATTATGTACTTTTCAATTTGTAGTAGATTTGAATGTTTTGGGCAAAAGAATTCTACTCTACAAATTCACTAATAAAAATCACTCCAGAGTCGATATTTTTCACATAAATTGTTATAAAAAAATCTGATCAAATTGCATTTTTGCCAAAAACTCTGCTTGTTTGCAGGAGAAGTGCTTCGTACATTTATAATAATGATGTGGGTTTGGAAGGGACGTTTGGAAATTCCAGTAGCACTTTCGGCCGGCAGTTGGCAAATGAAAATCAAGGGACGCGTCGCAGGTAGCCCGTGGGACTGAGGAAGCCCCAGGTCACTGCTCACAGGGTCGATCAGGTCGCTGCCAATTTCCAGCCTGCTGCGCCGTCCTGCCACCGAAAATCCGCGCGGGATTCGACTTTGCTCTTGCCCGACGTCCACCTAAAGTAATCTTTGCGACAAAACCAATTATTCATTTCTTGTTACAATTTCAAGGACCAGGAAATTTTATTTTAAAGGAAATGAAATCGCGGATTGAAACTCAGGACCAATGAAAAAAAGAATGAAAATAAATTTGGCGAGAAAACTTGAAGCGACTGATTTGAATTTTTGTAGGGCGAATTTTTTCAACACGTAATAATTTTTACGCACAATTTTTTTTTTCAGAATTTGAAATGAAAAGTTAATACTGGGTCTTTCATTTTTAAATTTTTATTTTTTAATTTTATTCTATCTTGTTCTTGTGGAAATACTGACCCTCGATGGAATTGGCGTGTTCTGAGACGGCGTCCAGGTCGGTTAAGTTTGTCAGGGTGACGAGGTGGAGGCTCAGCCTGGCGCAAATCGCGTTTGCCTCACTTCATGAACCCTAAAATTATTTTTCGGCATTAAAAATTAATTCTTGAAATAGAAAAAATTGCACAAAATCCACACTGACTAAATACGGGTGAATTCGGAATCAACTGGAATTAGTATTTCTTGCAATTCACCATTTGCGAAATCGAATACCATTGGTTCTTATGGCAGCCTCATCTTAGAATGATTGAATGATTTCAATCGTAAGACATGTTGTACAAAATGAAAAATAAAAAATATTGGCGTTGGAAAAATCAAAATTGGTTCAGCGTGGGGCTGTAGTCAGGCGATCAAAGATTTGTAAAGTAGGCAACCGAAGCCAATTTTTTGAGCTTTTACAAATCTTTGATCGCCTGACTACAGCCCCACGCTGAACCAATTTTGATTTTTCCAACGCCAATATTTTTTATTTTTCATTTTGTACAACATGTCTTAGGATTGAAAAGATTCAATCATTCTAAGATGAGGCTGTCATAAGAACCAATGTTATTTGATTTCGCAAATGGTGAATTCAAGAGAATTTTCCACCAGCTTGAGCGCCGTTGACGCTTTTACGATAAAAATTTTAATATAAAATATAGTTCCTAGTCAAATAATAAAAATTAAAAAAAAACTTACTAATGCGAATGAATTGACACGATTCTGGTGTATTCTGCAAAGGGGATTGTTAATTAATTACATGGAGAATAATTTTCATAAGGAAAGGAAATCAATTTTTTTTTTAATTATTCTTCCTGGAATGGAATGAATACTTTAATATTTTGCGGAAATTAAAAATACAAATAATTCTGAATTTCATGTCTGCAACATATGACAAATTTTTTTTTAATAATATCGCTTCTCAAAAGTTGGTTAAAACCTGCTGGTGGGTTTCGTGGTCCGTTTGGTTGGTGGCGAGGGCGACCTGAAGGAGGGCGGCGAGGCGTTGGGCGAGGCCGAGCAGGAACACCGAAAATCGGTCCATTTCTCTTTTTTCGCCGGCAGCAGATTTGGCAGTGCCGAGGTCTGACTTGAGCCTGTTTATATCTCAGGTCACTACCTTGCTTTAGTCCACCCCGACCACCCATTGAACATTTCAAATCGGTCTTTTTTTTACAGACCGCAACCGCAAAAATTTACCTCTTTCTAACTAATTTATTTATATGTGAAAAATTAAAAATTAGTGTTTAAGAAAGAAATTAATATAAAAATAAATGAATAACTTTTGGCATTTAGTTATTACGATTTAGTTTCAAAATTAATACGAAACGTCTTTCTTTACCACTTTGCAAAAAATAAATTACGTTTTGGTTGTTATTAGCCAATCAGACATGGTACCATTTCTGTTGGACTCGCATCAAAAATGGAAACCTGCAGATTATTTATTGAATTGTCGCTCTAATTTGGTCTCAAATATCGATTCAAGAAAATATTATTTTGTGGGTCCAAAGAAAATATAAATTCAAAATTGAACTCATCAAAAAATCTTTATAAAATTTGTAATAATAATAAAAATTTGGTCCATTTTGGGGGGACCTATGTGATCCTGAAAAGATTTGCTAATTAAAATAATTTTTTTGGAAATGAAGATTCGGGCTTTTCCTCGTTGCAAAAAATTGTTTTTATTAAAAAACAAACGGCTCTACCAGTTTCGGTCACGGCCTGCGACTCTATTTCATGAGCAAGAAAAATACAAAAAATCAGCAAAATTGAAAAAACCACATTTTAACATAAAAATAAAAATCTTAAAACTAACAAATTCAAGTACCAACCTATTTCATGAGCAAACGCGCTGCTCGCTGACTAATACAAGAATGAGCTAGCTAAAGACAGATTGATTGGGGGAGGTGATCTTTATTGGGTGTCTTCATTTCCATGATCATCTCCTCGAGTGTCAACTTCTTCAAACAAATAATTTTTTTTCTCTTTATTGAAAGATTCAAATTCAGAAATTTCAGGATGAGCCCGGCACATAAAAGCCACTTTTCATTAATTAGGTGGAGAATATTTTTCAAAAAGAAAGGAAATTATTATTATTTTTTTTTTTTTAATTTTTCTTCCTGGAATGGAATGAATACTTTAATATTTTGCGGAAATTAAAAACACAAACAATTCTGAATGTTGTATCAAAAAATTCATTTCTGCAACAAATTACAAATTTTTAAATAATATCGCTTCTCAAGAATTGGTTAAAACCTGCTGGGGGGTTTCCTGGTCCGTTTGGTTGGTGGCGAGGGCGACCTGAAGTAGGGCGGCGAGGCCGAGCAGGAAAACCGAAAATCGGTCCATTTCTCTTCTTTCGCCGGCAGCAGATTTGGCAGTGCCGAGGTCTGACTCGAGCCTGTTTATATCTCAGGTCACTGACCTTCCTTTTGTCCACCGATTGACCATTTCAAATCGGTCATTAGTTTTTTTATAGACCGCAACCGCAAAAATTTACCTCGTGTTAATTAATTTATTTATAGTGAAAAATAAAAATCTAAGAGTTTAAGAAACAAATTAATATAAAAATAAATGAACGCAAATTTTGGCATTTAGTGATTACGATTTAGTTTCAAAATTAATACAAATCGTCATTCTTTACCAGTGTGCAAAAAAACTTACGTTTTTGTTGTTATTTATTAGCCAATCTGACATGGTACCATTTCTGCTGAACTCGCATAAAATGGAAACCTGCGAATTATTTATTGCATTGTCGCTCTAATTGGGTTAAGAGAATATTATTTGGTGGGTCAAAAGAAAATATAAATTCAAAATTTAATTCATTAACATTTTGAACAAAAAAATCTATGTAAAATTTGTAATAATAATATAAATTTTGCAAAAATTATATTTTATTTGAATTAATAAAAAAACTGAAATTTATTAATTAATTCAATTGTTCAGTAAATCTGACATAAACTTTTTTGATTGCCATCTGATCAAATGATGGAGATAATTCGACGCGATTGTGTTTTCTTTGTCTGCGGGGGCACAGGGCAGTGATAAAAATATTTACTTAAATGCAAATCAAGTGTCACGAAATCAAGAATTTACAGATTTTTTTATTTTTAATTTCGCCACGGCTAGATCAATCAAGGTGAAAATATGTATTATAAAAAGTTCAATATATTAAAAAAAAAAAAAAAAAAACGGGACCAGATTTTTACTTCAAAATATTCAATTCAATTTAAATTTATTTTTCTCCAAACAAGTCAATACAATCAATTGTGAAAAAATTGGTTGGGAGAAAAATAGGCACACAGTGCTAGTGAACAACTCACTGAAACTCATAACCGCGTATTTACCAAGAGGCGATAAATACCCGATTACTCGCCGCACTGCAGCCTAAACTACGGGGGGAAAAATTCAAATTTGTTTAACATGCTCTTTGCACAATTTTGGGAAATTATTAGACGCACACGATTTTAACTCAGAAGGGAGGGAGTTCCATTGGGACGCGAGGCGAAAGGGAAATGAGTAGAGGCCGAGGTCGGTGCGCACTTTCGGAGGAATGAGCCGGTGGTGCTCTTCGTCACTGTTACTGTCTCTTATCTTTCGGCCAGTCTTTATTCGCGCCATCGAATTCATGCCAATTTTAAAAACTTTTCGCTATTGTTGAGAACTTGATCTTTCTACACAGAAAATTCAGTTCACCATATTCGTATAATTATAATTCAATAAAATTGGTTCTAAGAATGATTGTATCCTTTTTCTCAATCCTAAGCGTTGGAAATATATGAAAATTGGTTCAGCGTGGGGCTGTGGTTTGTCGATCAAAGACTTGTAAAGTATGCAACAGTTTTTTCCAGAAAGACGATAATTAGCCCTTAAACACTTCTAACTGCCAGAACAAACCGCATTTTCTTCAAAACTGGACTTTAAACTTTCCAATTTTTTTTTTATTTCGTATTTAGTTATTTTCATTCAACTAAACATTTGAATTTAACGATTTATTAAAAAAAAAAAAAAAAAAAAAAAAAAACATAAACAAGAGACGCAATAAAAATTGACAAATTTGTTTTTGTATTTTTCTTTGCTCTCGTGAAATAGGGTCGCAGACTGATAGAGCCGTTTGTTTTTGAAAAAAATTCCAACCAGGACAAAGCCCGAGCTCTTTATTCCATGATCTATTCCTTGAGTGTAAATTTCTTCATCTAAATAGCATTTCTTGACAAATGCGATAGAGTAATGCGTCCAGGAGACCAAATCCATAGAATTAAATTGAAGTTGAACCTGTACTTTTATTCTATTAATTATAAAATATATAAAATTATAAAAAAATTTCAATGCTTAATTCATTTGAAAATTTAAAATTATGGTTTTAATTTTTTAATCAGAAGCAGCAAAATCCAGCAGCGGCCGAAATTGAGAACAAGAGTTGCATTCGGCCAAGCAGCCAAAGTCGCACAAGGACTCTCTGTCTGTTTATTAATTATTGAAAAAAACAAAATAATTGTAAACAAAAACACACACAAAAATACATTCCAAATAAAGATTAAAAATTCACTTTCAGCCGAATCCAGAAAAAGAAAGTTGAAAAATATGAACTTAATGTCTATTTATTGAAAATGAAAATATTGATAACACGATGAAATAAATTACAAATGACATGAAAAGTTACATTTTATATTATAAATTATATATTAATTTTTTTAACATGCAGGCCAGACATTCAAATCCAGCAAAATAAAGTTTCCTTCGTCCGTTTCAACTTCCAGATCGGGCAGCAAATATTGTCGCAATCAGGATGAGAATAAATGCTCGTTTTCAATTTGTTAGTGGAGCGACGTACTTTTAGAATGAAATAAATGCACTGGGAATTATTTTATCTGTTTCTGCTGAGGCCAAATCAAGAACGAATATGTCTGAGACCTCAAGTTTCTCTCGTAAACAGATTTCACAAAGTTTGTCTTCATTGTAACATTGACATTACAGCCTCGAGAAAGTTTCAGTGACTGCTTGTCAATGAATCGCCCCGTGCCATTTTTTTGAGGAAATTCCAATCCTGGCGCAGGATAATAATTTAATTTTCGAAATATCTCTCAAGCTTTTTGCCCGCAATCGATTTCTTACCTTCAATGAACTGCGAATGCAACCGGCGCAACGCTGATGTTGCGCAGGTTGCCTATTTTTTTCCATTTCTTGCAACCGTCTATTGCATTGAATTAATTTCATCAAAACACAGTGACCTAAAAAATTTAAAACTGCGACTGTGGAATCGTGCTGCTTTGATTCCACTATAATGCTACTTTTTATTTATCTCTCCCGTGAGTTTAAATTTGATAGCATTTCAAAGTATACATGAATTAAAAAATTACTTAAATTTATTCTAAACTGATACATCTTTCCAGGGAGGATACAAAATTCTTGAGTCTTTTAGACCCGAAAATATAAGAAAAAAGGGATAATTAACGGTAGAATGTATATTATTTTAATCACCCATTAATAGAGTTCCAAAAAATATTTAAATTATGAGTCATAATTTATGACCGTTAATCGATTTCCACTAATACTTGCAACTCTTCATTTGATCTGGCATTATTCATTGATTGAATTATGCAACCTGCCTGTCCAACGCGTTGCCTAGATTTTAGTATAGATATTTTGCTGTTTCATTGCATTGCGAGAAAAATATAAAAATTAGAGTTAGAATAAAGTCACAGGCAAAATAAAAGGAAGGCAGGGTGTTATGGGGATTGATATATTTGTGTATTTCATAATTTTAATTCAATATCTCAATATTCCTTATAATCAGAATAGTTGTGCAACAATTGATACATTTCTTTGCTTCCTGATGTAGCTGCCACCGTGTGAGGCGTTCTATTATCATCGTCACGAGCGTTGACGTTTGCTCCTTTTGAAAGAAGAAATTCGGCCACTGCAACGCGACCATTTTGAGCAGCACAATGAAGAGCCGTTCGTCCCCATCCGCCTTTCTTTTCTACGTTGAAGCCATTTAATCCCAACAAATACTTGGAATTGTCCAATTTCCCTCCGAGGCAGGCCAAATGCAAAGCGTCGTTTCCGTATTTGCCACCGCACTCAAATCAGCGCCGTTTTCCACCAATAATTGACACATTTCTTCGTATGAAAACTGAGCTGCTAAAATGAAAGGCGTGTAATTCTTATTGTCACGAGCGTTTACGTTTGCTCCTTTTGAAAGAAGAAATTCGGCCACTGCAACGTGACCATTAAAAGCAGCACAATGAAGAGCCGTTCTTCCTAAGTGGCCTTTCTTTTCCACGCTGAAGCCATTTAATCCCAACAAGTACTTGGCATTGTGCAATTTCCCGCCTTGGCAGGCCAAATGCAGAGCGTCGTCTCCGTAATTGTCCACTGCACTCAAATCAGCGTCTTTTCCCACCAAGAATCGACACATTTCTTCGCTTGAAAATTGAGCTGCGGAAGCGAGAGGCGTCTTATTATTTTCGTCACGAGCGTTGACTTTTGCTCCTTTTGAAAGAAGAAATTCGGCCACTGCGACGTGACCTTTATAAGCAGCCATATGAAGAGCCGTTTTTTCGTCACGGCCTTTCATTTCAACGCTGAAATCATTTAAACCCAGCAAGTATTTGGCAATGTGCAATTTCCCTCCGAGGCAGGCCAAATGCAAAGCGTCGTGTCCGTATTTGTCGACCGCACTCAAATCAGCGCCGTTTTCAACTAACAAGCGACACATTTCTTCGCATGAAAATTGAGCTGCTAAAATGAATGGCGTGGAAGTATAATCGTCACGAACGTTGACGTTTGCTCCTTTTGAAAGAAGAAATTCGGCCATTGCAACGTGATCATTTTCAGCAGCCATATGAAGAGCCGTTTTTCCGTACCGGCTTTTCTTTTCCACGCTGAAGCCATTTAATCCCAACAAATACTTGATATTTTCCAATTTCCCTCCGATGCAGGCACAATGCAAAGCGTCGTTTCCGTCTTCGTCCACCGCACTCAAATCAGCGCCGTTTTCAACCAATAATCGACAAATTTCTTCGCTTGAAAATTGAGCTGCCAAAGTGAGAAGCGTATTCCCGTTTGTATCCCGTTTATTTATATCGCCGCTATTGAGCAGGTTTTTCAGATTAGGTTTCAACTCCTGAAGAATGTGATCAAGTTGTTCACGCAAAATGCTATGAATGTCAACATTTTGGCTTTGATCGAAGAAAATGCTCAAATTGTCACTAAAAGTGGTATTCTGAGAAATATAACTGTTTATGAAAACGCGGCACTGCCTTAAGTTGGCGTTTTGGAATATTGGAATCGAAGACGCTGATTCGAATTCTATTTCTTGAATAAAGCGCTGGGCAACGAGAAATTCAGCAAACGTTTGGTGAACAAATCGTATTTTCCCTTCTTCCATTGATGCGACGCCAGTGTTGTTGATTAAATTGACGTCTGTTGGAGGGGGAATTGAGCCATCATTTAGAAGAAATCTTAGTGAGATTTCCTGCAAAAGTTGAATTCGCTCGTCAACCACGAAGTCTTTTGGTGTTCTGCTTTCCTTCGAAGTTTGCAATGCTTCTGTAACTTTCTTTTTAATCACCTTCTCGTAGATACAAAATATTCCCTGATCTGATTGCAGGTTCACGCCACTTATCAAAGACAAATGGAACGGGTTCTTGAGAATGTCAGTAGCACCAGATGTTTCAAAGAGATTAAAGAGTTTTTCACAATCCTTTTTTCCCAAATTCAAAAGAAGTTCGAGTTGTTCTTCCCTCTCAAGAGGTTTGATTACAATCTTCCTCGTTGATAGCCAGTCTAGTGACTTTAAAAGGGTTTCTTCTTCCTCAGGCCTTGTTGCGATCACCAGTGGCATCTTCATTTTGGTCACATCTTTAATTATATTCATCACTTTCACTCGTAAATCAGGGCAAATTTCATCGAAACCGTCCAGAAACACAACTGATTTCCTCTCTTGCACTAATTTTTTCGCATCATTGTGGCTCATCTCAGTGGATTTGGATAGTAAATTTACAATGTTAGGAGACCGTTCGCTGTAAAAATATTCGTAATATTGCTGCAGTTGGATGTTGAAGATTGTTTTGTCCGTTGGCTCCTTGTTTAGATAATTCGCAATTTCTAGGAGAACTGTTGACTTTCCCGAACCAGGCAGCGACGAGAAAAGCCACACGCAGTAATCTTGCTCTCCAGAGTCCAACAGCTGCAGCTTCATCTCTTGTTTCAGTTCGTCAAATGTCAAATTTTTCTCATTTGGTTCATGCGTCTCGAGCAAGTTGGAACGATTTTGGCTCATTGAACTTGAACTTTCACGCAATTCATTAAGAATTTGGTTTTTTGTGTCCTTCTTTGAAATATTACTTAACAAACTTGTGAATCGAGGTGCAACAAAGGTAGAATTCTTGGCTAATTTTTCAATAGATGGCTCAATAAATTGATGTATATTCTTCAGATCCTCCTTGACAACAATGTTGAGAATTTCCTTGATGGAATCACTTCTAAGATAGTTATTCAATTTGATATAATGAGTGCTATCATCAGAATATACAGTTGAAAGAAAGCTATCGTAAAACTTTCGGCATTGTCTCAAATTTTTTTTTTTTAAGATTTGAATTCCCGATTCGTTTCTTTCATTAATATCTTTCACGTACTTATTGGTAATAAGTAACTGTGCATACACATCGTTAACAAATCTAGAGTTATTTTCACTTATTGAGGCTAACCCAGAGTTATTGATGGCTTCCATATCTTGGACACTCCACTTTCGATTTCGATCGGAAAGAACCTTTTGAATCGCCAAATCTTGAAGTAAATCTTCTACTTCAACAAATGCTTTTGAAAATCTTATTACATTGATTCGTTTATTTATTCCCAAATTTTTTTTGATATTGTATTCAATAATGCACTGAATTATATTGTTGCAGGTACGATATGAAGTAGAAAAAGAATTTCTATTTTCCATCCACATTTCAGTAGTAAGAATCAAATGTAAAGGATTTTTGAGCACATCAGATACTCCAAGATTTTTCATTTTCTGGAAGAACTCTGTGCAGTCTTCATAGTTCAATAAAGCTTTCATTTCGAGGAGACCTAATTGGTCAGTTTCACTTAATGGCTCTATTTCCACTTTGAACTTGGACACATTTTCCAGAGTCTCCATGATAATTCCTTCCTCTTGATATTGAGTTGTAATAAGTAGAGGAATTTTACATTGGACTGCATTCAATAACATGTCTAACAGTTTATCGCGTAGCATTGGACAAATCTCATTAAAACCATCAAGGAGCAAAACAAGCTTGTCATTTATGCCGAATCCAAGTGCATATTTTAGAAATTCGTTGATTGTTGGTTTGTTTGTACTCGATAAGTACTCGAATTTCTCTTTGAGTTGAATGGAAACAATTTTTCTTTTATTTTGGTTTCGTGATAAATGGCATGCAAGCTCCTTAACGACTGTAGATTTTCCTGAACCAGGAAGCGAAGAAATGATGCAAACGGTGTAATCTTCTTCATTCTGGTTTTCAATCAAATGCAATCCTAACTTTTCCAACAGTTGTTGAAATGTCAATTGCTTTTCATTTTCCTCATCTATTTTAGAGCCCATCACACCTAGTCTCGTCATCCCTGCCGAGTTGATAGTTCGTTTTGAAACGGAAGTTTTGAAGGTGGGCTCCACGAAGCATGCAGGCTTGTTTTCAAAGTTGAGCAAACAGTGAAGAGTGGATGAAACTTGAGGTAACACCGTGTCCAACAAATCACGTTTGTTCCTGACAAGATCCAGAGTCAGTTCTAAGATGTTTGCATCGTTTTTCAGATCAGGATTTTCGAAAACCTGTATCAGCCGATCTGCAGAGGGTATGCAAGTATTTATTAGTTTTGTAAAATGTCTTTCGTTTTTATTTACCAGAATCCTTTAGGATGCAAATGAAATAACCTGAATGGTTTGTTCCGTCCAACTCCAGTTTTTGTACATACTTCTCCTGGAAAAAATGTATCAATTCAGCGGAATACTTTATATTATGTTAGATATCTGTTGAAGATATGTAGTAATATAAAATGATAATAATGCAATTGCATTAATGTCGATATCTAGCTCTCCATTTCGAGAGATTAATACTTAATGAGAATGAGCCCCGACGCCAATTTTGTTCCGAAAATGCATATATGGGCATGATTGACCGCTATACATTATTAGTGTTGTTTACTCGTCCACATTGTTAAATATATTTTGCATGAAAATCATATCGTTCCAGACTCGTCTGATTTTCTGATGTAAAAATATAGTGCCACAACAAATTATGAATTTAATAGATTCGGCATATTTTTGGCCTATCCCTATAATTAATTTTAGGCTCTAAAAAGTCTAAAATATGAAATTATTTTGAACTGAGATATTAAGCAATAAAAAATAGAACAAACCAGGCAACCAACGATTTTTTTTTCAAATCAAAATTTTAAAATTCAATTGTAACACTAAAACTATGTGTACTCTAATCAATGGGAGGTTTTTAGGTCAACAATTTTAGTTATGAGTTATAATTTGGATTTTCGTAGCAATTAAGAATAAACACGTTTATGGCCATTAAAATCCGGACTGGGATATAATTAGGTAGTATTAATATTTATCAACTGTGGACCAGACGCAACTTGACCAAAACCTCTTGGACGAGATGCAACTTTCAAATAACTTGTTGACCACGGTGATTTTAATTTTCCTCGATGGGCTTTGTGAGTTGTTTATGGTTTAAGAAAAACAATATCCTGCTCTACATGTTTCGGTTGCGGGCTGTAGCCCTTATTTATGAGCTTTTTCGGCGGTGGTCGAGAGAAGATCACTTTTTTAAGTCAAAAAGTGACAACCGCGCTTTTTGAAGAGGTATTAGACCCTTTTGGTCTAGAGTCGGAACTGCTGCCAAACTTAATACAATAATATTATAACAATATTAAAAACAACCAATAAAATGAAATAATTGATAAATTTAATTATTGAAACATAATTAAATTTGTATAATCTGTATTTCATTTTGTTCTGAAAAATTAAAAAAAGTAAATTAAATAACAATTATTTCTTTCAACATAAGTTTACCATTAAAATTATTAAACTTTTATTATGTATAGTAAATTTTTTATGACAACATAGGCTCCTCCTAAATTTTCAATAGTTGTATAAAGCATAAATTTTGTCACAATATCGTGTGAACATTGGAGCCAAAAATTTCAAGCCGATTTCTTTAAATAAAAAAAAAATGACCTAATAGAAAAACCAGAGAGAGACTTCAAAATAAAGACTACAAATTCCTCTTTCTTTGTAAATATTTTGATATTTTAGGTTTTAAGATCATAAAAAATAATAGGGATCATTATTGGTCGTTTTTAGCAACAATTTATAAACACGTTTTTGTGCAATCACTTAAATTTAATATTGTTTTTTCTTTTAGATTAGAATAGATTTTTTCTTTTAGGAAAAATAAAATGCTTTGCTTATATTTCCAGAGCCACCTGAATGCCTTTTTGCTTCCGGAGTCAGTGACGTCGGTACCTATAATGAGATAACAAATAATGCATGACATGTGAGTTATGTATGAATAACTGTTTCATCAATTTTTGCAAATGCAGGTTTATTTCAATCAGCTCGATCGAATGAGAAGATGTTGGCATTCAAGCGCAAGCGGTCACTTTTTTGTGCAATCACTTAAATTTAATATTGTTTTTTCTTTTAGATTAGATTAGATTTTTCCTTTTAGGAAAAATAAAATGCTTTGCTTACATTTCCAGAGCCACCTGAATGCCTTTTTGCTTCCAGAGTCAGTGACGTCGGTACCTATAATGAGATAACAAATAATGCATGACATGTGAGTTATGTATGAATAACTGTTTCATCAATTTTTGCAAATGTAGGTTTATTTCAATCAGCTCGATCGAATGAGAAGATGTTGGCATTCAAGCGCAAGCGGTCACTTTTTTGTGCAATCACTTAAATTTAATATTGTTTTTTCTTTTAGATTAGATTAGATTTTTCCTTTTAGGAAAAATAAAATGCTTTGCTTACATTTCCAGAGCCACCTGAATGCCTTTTTGCTTCCAGAGTCAGTGACGTCGGTACCTATAATGAGATAACAAATAATGCATGACATGTGAGTTATGTATGAATAACTGTTTCATCAATTTTTGCAAATGTAGGTTTATTTCAATCAGCTCGATCGAATGAGAAGATGTTGGCATTCAAGCGCAAGCGGTCAAGGAGTGAAGGAAACGGGCATTATCCTTCCTTAAATTTTTTTTTTATTTTCATCATAATTGGCATAATAGGGTCACAAACCGTGACGTACATTTTGGTTGAGCCGATTGGATTTTTTTGTCAATGAAAACAATTTTCAAATAACTATCGCTGGATAAAATCTGTTTTCTTTTCACTCCGGCCGCTTACTTATATCTTCAAAAATTATAAATCAAGATTCAATCATAATGGAATGACATATATTTGATTATAATTTATAAATAACCCTACTTGCTTTATTATAGATTGTAGCGTAGCAAGTTTTGACACGAGACGCAGCGTGGCACCAATTTTTTTAATTCTTACTCTCTTTATAAATGATTTTTAACCATTGCAAAAGGATTGAAATTTAGGGTAATTCGTTTATTGTTGCTGACGATGTGAATAAGATATTATATGCACTCTAAGGCAAATACTAATTGTAAAAAAAAAAAATACTTTCTTCGAATATATCAGAATTCTGAGCTATAGTTCTTAAGTTATAGTAATATTTCGAGTCACCGCTATTGCCCCTAAATTAATTTGTCCTAAAACCAACATCTTCATTGGCCCTAAAAACAAATACCCTTAAGAACTCCTTATTGACATAGTCAAATCAAGTCTTTACAACAATAGTAGCCATTTTGGGCAATTATTGGGAATATAACAAACCATTGTTGTAAAGACTTGATTTGACTATGTCAATAAGGAGTCCTTAAAATAATTGTCCCAAATTTTTCACTCTAAATCCTCTAAAAAGTAAATTTCTTAAAATCATTTGCCCTAAAAGTAAAAAAAAAAAAAAAAATTGGATAGGCCATTTTGATCATTTCTAGTTACCTTTTAATTAATTTTTGTCAAACTTCATCGACAGGGAAAAAGCAAGTGTCTAAAAACCGAATTTTTCATCTTTCGTAGGAAAAGTAGACTAAAAAACTATATAAGCACTATTTTGCCCATCTCAAACTAGCTTTATAATCTTTCTCTAAAATGCACAATAGTAAAATATAAAATGAAAAAATATTAAAAAAGAATTTACTGATGCACGGAGAAATTATACAGAACTGCATGTTTTGAGTTGAAGTGTTAGAAAATTGATGAAGCTTATATATAGTTATTATTTTTTTTTTTTAATTTTTCTATAGCAAGAGAAATAATTAACAAATTTTACTTAGAAATGCTTCAATTCACCCTAATCATAAAAAATAATTAAATGAATGAATGAATTCGATTTGAGGAGGTTTGAAATAAGGGGCAACGCGGGTCTCCCAATATTTCAGCATTTAAAAACTTACTGTTGTGAAGTTGTCAAAATCAATTGTTTGATCCACGAAGAAGAATAATTTTGGCCTCCCAATCCACATCTTATTTCCTGGTCCTAGGAATTTGTAGACAAGGTCTCCGATTTTGACGAAAGTGTTTCCAATGAGAACGCAAACCTCGTTCTCTTCGTTTAAAAACAGCGGAGCAAAAAAGACGGCCAAAAAACAACCGACTTCACCCTGCTCTCCTTGTGCTACCAAATAAAAGCTAATTATTTGACAGCTTAACTTAAAACAACAGATTTACTTTTCTGAATAAGTGATTTCAAATTTGTTTTGCTGTTTTCGAGAATGTTGGTCGTAAATCCTAAATTTTTACGCAGCGCCTTTTCCACGCACTTAACATTCGGATCAGACACCCTAGCAGTGAAAATCTCTGCCCATTTCTCTCGCAGGTACATTCCGTGTTTTGTACGCCATTGGAAGAACGCTGATCGTTTGGCAGTTATGCTATTTTCAAGGTAGGTTCCTTTCCCTCCTTTACCACCTGATTGTGTTTCGCCAACAACTTCTGGCTTTGTTGCCCTGTTAAAAACCAAAATTTCAAAATGTTAAATATTTAAAAAGATTACCAACTGACTTGAAAATCACGAATTTCCTGTGCCGAGTGTATTTGACCTCGGGTGTCTGGCCTACCCCTATTAACTTGCCATGGATCCAATGTTGCAATTTGGTGAGAAAAACCTCCAACGGCTCGTCTTTTTCAAGATCATCCAACAAAGTGCAAATTCCCTGCACCAACCACGTGCCTTTAGACGTGTCTCTGATGTGAAAAGTCGCTGAAATTCCTTAAATTATTTTTATTAAACATCAATATTAAAAACCATCACTTTCGACTGTGGAATAGACGATGACAAAATTCTCAGCACCGGGCATGTTGGTCAACCTGCTTGAAGTTTGGTTTCTGTAATCCTCATGTTTTTTCATTTCTCGATGAGCCATGTCCGTGAGAAATCCCCTGCAAGGCTATTAATCACAATTTTAAAGAATATATACTTAGGAATTTTAATGATTTAATTCCTTCTTACACCAAAGAAAATGACATTGAGTTGTACTCGCAGGTTTGGTGACCTCTTAATTGCCTCCACCACTAGACTGGTCAGGAAGAATTCGTGATATCCACACTCGTTCTTGTGGTCTGTCAGGATAATATTGTTTTCTGCTCCGTGCGACAAGATGATGAGAAAAAATGCAGAGGGAACAGCTTTAATCATAAAAAATTATAACGAAAATATTGATTTCTTAATTTTTGTACTTGATATATTGAAGAGCTTGAGAAGTTCTTCCTCGTTTGCTAATATTGTAAGGAAATCTTCAGCTGTGGGTGACGTCAGTTCTTTGTATCGACATTTCCTCTTCTCCTTAAAAGATTTTCTTAAATTTTCTAGATCCTTTTCATTGCCATATCGCCTCATTTCGGCATCATCTTTGAATTCGTAACTGACAACCAAAACGCAAGCGCTGCAAACAAATTTATGTCGATTGTATAATTTTTTTACAATTTTGATGCTGGTACTCGTCTGCATTCTGGTTGTTTTCAAAGTAGCCCAGACACGCCAGTTCCTTTTCTGGGAAAAAATATTTTATTCCAATTGTGAGAAAACAAAATATAGACCTACCTGAAAGGGATGAAGATCCTGCTTGCACCTTGGAACTATTCATTTTGCTACCATGCGCACCATTGGAATTTATTTTCAGCTCGCTGAGGATTGCTCCTAGAATTAAATTTATGAAGAATAAAATTCAACAATATTAATTGTCGCTACAGATACTAGAGATATGTCAAAATTTGATTTATTCAAATTTTAATTATATTTTACTATAATGAATTTATTTCAATGTCATCTATTTGATGTTATCCTTAATTTTTTTTCGTATTTATTTATGCATATTGGTCAATTTGTAAATCGGCCGGAAAAAAATTGATTTTTATCTCAACAGAAATTTCAGTCTAGATGCTTAATTGGTCCAAATGCTTTCGGTCTGATTGCGAATCAGAAACAAGAAAAAGTGTTTCTTTTGAACTAAAATTTACTATTTATATAGTGATAGTGCCGTTTTTTCTTTCTTTACAATTATGTATCCCTTGCCCGGGGGCTGCAAAGGGCAATCCATTTGTGTAAGATGCAAAAAAAGTCCAGGAATCAAAAGCATTTTGCCCTTATGTAACCCAGAAAAAATTCATGCTAGTCTGAATATTCTTGCCATCTATTGGGGGATGAAATGAGATACATTTTCTGAGAAGGGCAACAGCCAACAGCTCAGGTAATTTTGAGCCTTTAGGCAAATGTTTGTTTTTCACTCATAACGATGGTATATGGAAACTTACTACCCGGAAACTTACTACACCCATCTGAGAGTAGGCAGCAGCACAGTGGGCGATAAATCGTTATCGAAAATCAGAGCACGTATACGAAAATTTACTACTACCTTTACACAAAATACACAGAAAATAAATTTTATAAAAACTGGCAAAATTTTAAATTTATTTGAAAATAACTAAAAAATAAAATTCCGAGTACAGGTACTTTTAGTTGATCGAAAGTGTTAAAAAAATTATTGAGTAGCAAATAGCAAATGTCTTAATTAAATGAAAATTCATATTTTTATTGGTATTGATCAATAGTTATCTATTTTATTTAAATATTATAATTGTTTCAATTATTACTGTAAACGAAGCAAAACAAATTTCGGAAGATTTTAGAAATACAAAGAATTGGTTCGGAAATCCGTAAACTTGTTCAAGGCAAAAATAACTTTCATTATATTAAAATAATTATAATTATTAAAAATAGTTAAATACTTAGTTATATACTGAAAATCCCACAAAACTTTTAATTTTTTTTATCCATAGAGAACACATATTTATTGATATAGTACTAATTAAATAATGCGCATGTCATAAGTAGTGTCCTTTAGAGAGTGTGATTTTCTGTATTTTCTTTTTTATGTTTGCTAGAAATTTAGAATAAATTTAATTATACCATGAAAAAGTTTGTCCCAACAGCTTATGCATTACCTTTGTTCCATTTTCAATAATCTTCCAATAATGATTTGTCCTTCTTTTAAACTATGAAGAACTCCTTATTGACATAGTCAAATCAATTCTTTACAACAATAATAGTTTGAAAATTCTCACTGTTTTCCAATTAATCGATAAAATGGCTACTATTGTTGTAAATACTTGATGAGACCCCGTCAATAAAAGGAGTCCTTAACAATAAATGATTTTAGTGATTACTTTATACAATACAAATAAATCCATTTTGATCAATAAAATAAGATAAAATAAATTACGAGAGATACTTGTTACTCATTGAAATTTATTTTATCAGTTTCGATCAGCTATAGCCTATAGGTTAAAAAAATATTCTCCATTTAATTTGTTTTAATTTTTTTTCTGTTAAAAATTTTATATTTTTACTGTTTTTATAAAATTTGTATTGTGCCAAGGGTAGTAAGTTTCGCGCTGATTTTCGATATCGATATATCGCCCCCTGAGCTGCTGCCCACTTTCAGATGGGTAAAAAGTTTCCGGGGTATAGTAGTTTTTCAGAAATAGGAAAATTGCTACACAAATTCAAATATACGCCACCTTTCAAAGGTACCTTTTTTACCCAGAAAGAATAGCGGCTTTGGGATCTCAGAAAATGTATCTCAATTCACCCTTAATAGATTGTAAAAAATTCAGACTGGCATGAATTTTTTTCCAGTTTAAAACTTTTTCCGCTGGACTATGTGAGCCATGATGTTGGCTGATGCATGTTAAAATCCTGTTCACTATTTTTGCAAACATTTTATGTGAAAACTTCTTAATTTTTTTCTTTTTAATTATTTTTTGGAATGTGCACTTAAATTTATTTTAAATGTCAAATCAGCATTATTGGAAAACAAACATCTTTTTCCTCTCGAGAAAATAAAAAAATCTTTCTTTGATTTCGACATCCCCCTGCTGCATCTATTACATCAGCTTTGGGTTAAGTGATAATTAATGAAGAGCAGAATACGTTATCATTGCTCCATTATTTAGTTAAAACTAGAAGTCTTTTATTTATGCTAAAGTTCTTTTGTCGTGCGGGTTGCGGAAAACTTCCTTCCATTGGACTGCACGCAGAATCTCCCCACGATCCTGCAACTCGGAGTTAAACAACCCTCGAAGTGCCGCGAGAGCAAAAGGTCGAGGACACCACAAGGGTTGTGCGGAGGGCGAGGCCAAATTAGGAAGCTCAAAATAAATTATCATATCCACGATACTGCCGATACTTATCAACCCTTTGAAGGGTTTGAAAGTTTCGTTTCGTGGAGGTTCAATATTGGTACAGAAAGATCTGATTTTGTGCGCCCTTCAAAATGATACCATGTTTATCACTTTTATGTCACTCCGTCTGCGTGCAGTAGTCGAATAATGAATTTTCGGCATGCCCGAGCGGAAGCCATCTTAGATTTTGGGGTTTCCTGGTTTTCCAGGCAAATAAATAGTTCTAATTGTTTTATCAACATGATATTTTCACAGACGAAAGAGAAGATTTTATGGTCACGTGGATGTGCATATTTACCATCTCGACAGGCCCGTTCGGACGGAATTAAGGAGTTTGCGTAATTGGCGGTGGTGATTTTTCTATTGGTCCAAAAATTAAATACTTTGGCGAATATTAAAGCTATTAAAATAAAATTTTCCAAAAACAATATTTGAAAATTTTTCCATTTTTTTCGTTATTTGGGAAGTGTATAAAATATCATTTAGTTGCCCCTGAAAGGTATGCAATCGAATTTCTTTATAAAAATTTACAAACATAATTGATTATATAATGTGACCTTTCGTGAAATTTTCAAAAAAAATTTCTATGCCGTTCTTATTGGAAAAAAAATTCCCAAAAATTGATTTAAATTTATAATTTGAGACTCTCAGCCGCGCGAAAGCCAAAGGGCGGGTTTTGGACCTTGGACTGCTGGAGCAGAAGCCATCACGGATTTTTAGTTTTTGTGGCAAATTAATTGTTTTAAATGTATAATTAACATGATCTTTTCAAAAATGAAAGAGACGATTTTTATGATCACCTGGGTATGCATTTTTTCCCGATCTTGACGCCTGTTTTGTCGAAATTAAGGGGATTGCAGGTTTGGTCATTGTAATTTTCTATCCAACCAAAAATTAGAAAGTTAGACAAAAGTTAAGCTACTAAAACAAACTTTGAATTAATAATGTTAATTCTTTTGTTATTAAAATAATGATGCAAAATATGTAATGTTGAGTGACCAATCGATATTTTTTTTCAAAAATTTCAAGCCTAAGTCAAGCCCAGGTTTATGTAAACTTTCCTGAAATTTTCAAAATTTCACAAGCAGATTATCCTATTCATAAATAATTTTTTAAAGTATTTCTAAAAGTATTTCTCAAATTTAAATATATAGTACCTTTTTAGGGAAAATATTTTGAATTAGAACGGCTGAAATGAAAAATTTTAAATTTTCAAATGGTTTTTTGGGTAGAAGCGTTGCGACTGAGAAGAGGATTAAAATGATCATGCCGTTTTTATTGCGTTGTTGGTTGGAGGCCGCGCAAAGGGCAGGCGGCAGACCCACTCGGGGCCTCTCAACGCTTAAGCAACGGTGGCAGCGCTTTCAAATGTTGGAAGTGGGAGACGTTGCTGAGCCGCGAGATATGTTGCACACGATTAAAAAAACGTCATTTTTTTAGGAAATTTCGTGACTTTGGATCGAAATTACGTTCAAAACATTTTCGTTTGGTAAGCTTGTTCAAATGCGTTTTCACATTTGGATTTGGAGCCTTTTATTTTTAAGCCTAATGATTTCGTTTTTTTCCGCAAATAATGTTACTAACGCTTTTTATAAAGAACTTTGCAACAAAATTTCTTTTAGTATTTATGCACGATTTTGTAGTGTTTATTTCAATCCTACGTAAATACGAATTAATTTTTTCTAAATGATCCAATGTACTGATAATGTTCTAAAATAGAAAAATTTTGCATTATTTTTTTTATATGAATTAAAAAAAAATAGCCAAATGAAATATACCAAAGTTGAAAAAACGCGTGAGTTTTGATGAAAGCTAAACTTAGAATTGCTATATCAACCTATGTTTAAATAATTTTTTCAAATTGAAATTAAAATTTGTTCATTAAGATATGATAAAAATCATTAATATAATCGATTATGTGGTATTTAATTTGGATACAAAATTTTATTGAACACTGTAGTGTTTTATATTGAAATGTCTGTCGTGTAATATTTATTCTGACAAAAACGCATAAAAAATTATATTTAAAGCTCCATAAATAATCTTTCATCAAAATTTAATTGATATTTCCTGAAATATTGACTCGAAAAAAAAATTATATGGTATATCCTAATATCAAATTACACCAATAAGGGGCAAACAATAAAAAAAAAATTACACCACAAGTAAAAATAACATTTCACCTAAACTTTTAGGCTGGACAAAATAATTCAGAATTGAGCTTAATAATTTTAGGTATGAAACTCAATGGTTGGAAAACGATAATTCACAATTCTTTTAATTATCCAAGAGAAAAATAAATTTTTGTTTTATATATATCCTGTTGATATCCTACAAACGGATGGGCAGGGTTTAAAACGATGTGACGTGTGAACGATTAGGAATTATTTAAGAGGTTTTTACCTCTTAAAAAATTAACCCCTGAAACTGCTTTACACTTTACAACACAAACAAAACACTACTCTACACTAATTTGAACAGAAAAAACACACGCACACTAACCATTATCAGAGGATTAGGAATTCATTCGTGATTTAATCAAACCGCGCACATTAACAATAGAATTGATAATTGACATGATACAAACCTCCGCACTATTGACGAGCTCTGTAGCTTTCTGGCAAAATGATTTGAATACTCCCTCAAATCAGGAAATATAATTAATTTTAAGACGCGCTATTAGCTGCAGACGAATTGCTCAGACAAATCAACACACTGGCAGCTTGCGGGACTGTCTGTTGCGTCAATGCAGAATGCAAATTTTGCAGATCGACTCTCTATGAGGGTCTCTCGTGTTGGTACAAGTGTGCTGTTGGTGTGGTGTGCAAAGCCATAGCACCACATACCCTCATGCGGCCAAACTCAAAAGCGATCGTAGCAGAAAGTCTGATTATGGCTAGTAACAACCGCGGGGCTCTGCTGTTCATTCCACTATTTTGTGCTTACGTCGCACGTCGCACCTCTATGCTGGTGCCATATTTTTTTTAGATAAGATTACATATTTTTATCATCCTTTTGAGCACAAAATATACAGTCATCAACTAGCACAATAATATCACCGTACAAGTACAAGTTAATATCGCGCTAATGGATAAGGCCTTAGCTAAATTTTAGTTTATACGCAGACTTTTAAGTTACAAATATTTTAATTTCACTTTTACCTCCCAATGTATAATTATTTAAATTTATGAAATAAGCGCAGTAATCAGGACATGACTATACTAGCCCTAAAACATATTAAAATTAATGGTGTGTTTTGAATTTATTAATCAAAGCCTACCGCAATTTATTTGATTCACAAATTAAAATTAAAAAATTCCCTTACTCAATTTTTGTTCAAAATTTATTTTTATAAAATTTTGGTCAAATTGGAGTGAGTGAAGCTTATAAACATAATTTATTCCTACACTTTGAATAGTTGTAAATATTATTTATTGATCTATCACAAAGGCAATGCCTATAACAGGATACATGATTTATACTTTCAAAATTATACACATTTAATATGATTGAGAGAAAAGAGGAGAATTTTACATACAAAGTTTTACAATAATAAAATACAAACAAAAAGAAAAAGAAAATCAAAGTTGTTTGGATATTTTTTCTGAATTCTGAAAACTTTATTTCATTTATAGATGACTGCCTGATACTTCCGAATGCCGCTTTTTTTTGCTCTTACTTCTGGAAAAAAAACTGCAGCTCAAATTATGTAGTATTTTCGTCTTTTATTTTAAGCTCACAATTCAGCTTTTATTATTCCAGATCAGTCCTTTTTAATTCTATTAATTTTTCTTTTCATTCATTCAGCTTATAATATGGTTCAAATATTGCTGCAATAATTTATTTTGTTATGAGTTAATATTTTCATATAAACACCAACTCTGCGGTAGTGCATTCCAAAGGCGATAGCTTGTCATTCTGAAAGAGTCATCATTGCAATCAAATGGCGGAAGGAGAAACAATCTGTGTGTTCTAGCAGCTCTGACTTGACAGTCATCGCGCAGCAATAATAACTTCCTTAAATAGGGTGGGCCGTTTTCGTATAATATTTTGTGTGTCATCAACAGAGTGCTCCTCGCGTCAACTTTTGAAATACCTGCTTTAGCATAAAAAGGGGGTATGTGCTCACCGAAATTTATATCATAGACATATCTCACACAATTATTTAATGCCACAGCATCTATCCTTTTCAGTCGCTCCTTTCTCACGTCACAATATATTATGCTGCAGTAATCAATATGAGGTAGAATTAAATTTTTTTTAAGTTGAAGCCGAATTTTTTCAGGGGTCAAAGCACGAAATTTATTTCAATTGTTCAATGTGCCATAAACCTTCTGACACACTGTAGAGATTTGTTTACCCAGCGAAATTTTTGGTCAAAAAACACTCCTAAGTTTTTAAAGTTAGCAACAAATTCAATTTCAGAACCACATAAAAGCAGCTTCGGAAGATAGCTAAAATTTAATTTTGGTTTAATGTTTAATTTAAACGTAGCCCATTCTTTTCTGATCATTTCAAAACATCCTGTAATATTAAATTCATTATTCCAAAAGCGTGTCACCTAGCTAGCCCACACTGCACTCAATATATAGTTGAATATCGTCTGTATAAATATGAAATTTGCATCAGTTCTTTAAAATTCTACATATCAATCATATAGAGAGAAAACAAAAGGGGGCAAAGAACTGATCCCTGTGGAATGCCGTATTTTAATTCCACCCATTTTGAGAAGCTACCATACCCCATACCTCTTACTGTTTGCGTTCTGTCTGAAAGATAACTTGTATACCATTTCATTGTTGAGTGAGGAAAGTTTGGTTGAGAAAGCTTTCTTTTTAAAATTCATGATCAACCGTGTCAAATGTTTAGAGTAATCTAGAAACACCATTAGAACCAATTTTTTTTTTTGAAAAGAGAGACACGAATATCTTCAGCAATTTTAAGCAGCGTCGATGTGTAAAAAGCCTTCTTGTTCTTATGCAGATTGGAACTCTTCGAAAAAATCGTGTTTACTAAATTAAAGTTTAAATTTGCTCGTAAACGATTTTTTCTAAAATTTTTGGTAAAGTTGTACTAACAATAAGTAAAGTTATGGTCCAAAAATCTCCGGGTTTCACTGCATTGCGCACCTTGTGAATAGGGCTCAATATCACTTTTTTCCAAATCGCTGGAAAATCACTCATCTGGAGAGAAGAATTGATAATGTTAGCGAGTGTTGGCAGAATCGCATTATTTATTTTCTTAATCATTGCAATGCAAATTTTGTCATAACCTTCCGCAGACGTTGCGATGTCAAAAATAGCTTGTTTCACATCTGATGGATTAATTTAATATGAAAAATGAAATTGTTCACCTAATCCAAATCCTTCCATAATCCTTTTTTTAGTTTACAGCTTTGTTTTGTCACCATCGCGTGGACCAAAATTAAGGATATGCCAGCAAAAAATGATGGAGGGCGATCCAAAAGCCTAACCTGGCCCAGGCTAACTTGACTTAGCCCCGGGCTAACTTGACTTAGCCCCGGGCTAACTTAGCCCCCCAGCAAAATTGAATGGCGGGTTAAATAAGACCAGGCCAGGTTAATTTAGACCGGGCCAAGTTAGCCTTTTGGATCGCCCTCATGATTTTTAAAATAAAGTTGTACCCAAAAATTAAAAAAAAAAAAAAAAAATTTGGGTGGTGCCTTCTGCACCACTAATAAAGGGCACAGGCCGACAAGACTTTGTCTTGGCTTGACCCAAATATATATATGTTGTTGACCAAACGCCATGAGTGGTCCGAATGCATTCGGACCAAGCGCTTTTAGACTGAATGCATTCGGACCAAGACTCTTTGGTCCGAATGCATTCGGTCTAGACCGGACACAAGCTCGCGTGAAAAACCCATCTCTCAGCGCGTTTGGACCAAAGTCTTGGTCCAGAAGCACGATTTGACAAGTGCTACCAACTACTGCGCCGCGCTATGTGAAAAATACTAACATGCCGTTCACATTTGTAGGTGCTCAATATATTTTGAATTCCAAAATCATTGGGTCACTGCCTTAAATAACAAATGTTTCCATAGGTGCGTTGAAAGTGTTTTAAATCAAAATGATTCAGTGTAGCATCTCATCAAAAGAGACTTAGAAAATTAAATGAATTTTTTTTTACCAAGTGAAAAAATTTCTGACGCGATTGACAAGGTGCGTAAAGACCTTGATCATTTGTGGCCGCTTGGGTAAATAATTAAACAATTTATTATGTAAGCAGCAAGTAAACTTTTACATTTTTAAAGTTTTCTAAGAGGTTTACTTACTGAAGTGATTTTGTTTTGGATCCAAAATTTCATAGCAAAATCAATTTTCTTGGCGGCTTGAGTAACAAAGAAAATCTTAAAAGAGTTGCAAAAATAATGGCTGCAAAAATGTAGAAAAACAAAAGTTTCTATGTAAATCACGATGCCACAAAATTTTGTCATGGGATGACAAGTGAGATAATTCAAAGCAAAATCAATTTAATTGATAGCTGTGTTATAATTAAAGTCTTAAATTTAATATATATATATATATATATATATATATATATATATATATATATATATATATATATATATATATATATATATATATATATATATATATATATATATATATATATATATATATATATATATATATATATATATATATATATATATATATATACATATATATAACACCAATGCTGTCAGCAGCCACGCCTCCTCACATGCAAGCAACCGTGGCCGCCGCCAAGGCCAAATCTTTGGACAGCAGCTGTCCTTCGAACCTACACTTACCAAGGATCGAACCTCTCCACAGAAGCCGTCAGACAACACTGCACCGCGCTTCCAAAACTGTCGCTGCACCTACTCACAATTTTGCTCCACACGAGTTTTATGCAGAACTCTCGTCTGAATCAGAGCATACATCAGCGACGCCGACACGAGCCTTCAAACTCGGACCGACACGGCAAGTATGTGACCTGCAACCCACCGCGCAAACGAGACATAGCAATTTCTCGTCACCTTTGGGGACACACCCTGTCGGACACACCTGAAAGAGCTGATCGGACCAACTACCTTCCAGCACGCCAAGTTCCCCCGGCTGGAATCAACCAACATACAGAGCTTCCAAGTTCTCCTGTTTTTGGACTCAGCAAAAGTCCAACGCCTCAAATTCCTCGTTCACTCCAGCCTATACAAGAGTGACCTTCTCGCCAAGAGACAACTTCTCGCCAAGAGACACCTTCTCGCCAAGAGACACCTCACCAAGAGAAACATACTGAGAGTGACCTCCGGTCTCCAAGTGGGGGCCTATGTAGCGGTCAGCGGTTTCCCGCTGCCCACTACAAATCGTTTAGTCACGACTAAACCACTCCACCACCCTGTGCTGCACCCTACAGCATTTACCCTGCAGCACTCCCATGCAATGTGAGCCCCGCCCAACCACGTTTATTCTCGCGCCCCAAGCCAGCCATGGAGCGCGCGTCTCAATCGCTCACTCAACAAACCTTCGCCTGAACCCAACTTATGGGTTCGAATTTCAACTTCCGATTCTAATACCAACACATCCTGAATATACAACACCGCCTTACTACAATATACGAATTAAAAGAATCTTCTGGAGTTTAATTTAATTATTATTCTCCCTTTGTGTTGGCCAACCTGGCCCGTACATATATATATATATATATATATACATATATATATATACATATATATCGTCGGCTACGCGGCCAAATGGCCGATCTGGTAATTACCCCTGTGGGGGAAAAGGCTAGTAGCCACTTTCCCCGTTGGGGAAAATGGCCGATGAGCCTTTTTTCAAATTTTACAGGAGAAGCAAAAAAC